CTATGCTCCTTCACGAGGAGTAACAGGCGTAAGTAAGTAAGTAAGTAAGGTGATTATAATTGTCTGAAATGATGTTAATAAGGACAAATGCCGTTCAAACTTTCATACACTGATCCCACTGACCGTTAGTTTTGGAAACTACAGACACCATAATAGTTTCAACCAGGGCTATAAATATTGGGACGTCGGTGTCGAAAACTTAGACGCTGGTGTCACCCCAAAAGTGCTAATTTCGTTCTTTATAGCGCACAGTGAAATGTTAGACCAGCATCCCCTCGTACAGATATATTCAAGTCACAATTATTGGACTGGTATGGTTGTAATCAGAAACATTATGAACAGGAATTATACAGAATACTCAGACGTAAATCACGACCAAGATATGCAGACAAAAAGATTACTTATAAAGAAGTTATTCAGCCAACCATGTGAGGGTGATCCTAGCAACCCCCAAAACAACGTTCTGTCCAATGAAGTAAGAGTCCAACAGACCAAATTGGTTAGAAATTAATCGGTTGATCAACAGTTAATGCGCCAACATGCTGATATTTAGTGGCATTGGTCCTTAACCACGCGATCTTTGAAGCTGAACATAGGATAACGCAGAAAATACACATTCAACGTTTAACACGAGGAGGTCATAAGTGGTGAACATGAGATCAATTGGTCGGTATGGCATGCCTCAGCCTTTCAAGCATGCTTATTCGTGCCCCCCAACATTAAACACATCATTTTATCCCCAGTCAAAATGTGTTTTTTCAGAAGTACTTGACATCACATTGCTGATTATCACCATAAGACGAGTTGGTATAGACAATGATGTGACTTGCACGCAAGGCATTATAGATTAGGTCGTCACGTTATGATAGATGTATGATTTTTGAATTAGGTCAACATTACAGTAAGAAAGATAAATGTATTATTACCAAACGAGACCATGAATAAAAGACCTACTCCGCCTGCCGGAATATGGATTTAAACAGGTTTTACTAAGGTGCACCAAAGGCATTCAATTACTGTTCAACGATGTCTTATATCGTTTAGCTGGTAGAGTGGCTATGGATGAGTACAGGGTCCAATTCCCGCAGATATTTTTACGGGAAACCTAGAACAAACAGTGATGAAATCAGTAATCAGTGATACAGCGTTGCACTTCAGATTTGTTGACAATACGTTCGTGGCCTGTGATGACTACCAATGTGCCTACCATATGTTGAAACTTCCTACACGCGAATATTAGGTTTACAATGGATCAGGAACATGACAGTGTGCTCCATTTTCTCGATCTTAGTATGAAGCGTAACACAAAAGGTCGATTGTAAAGGTTTTTATCGAAAAGTTACACGATGTGATTATCCTTACACTTCGATGGCTTCTGTCTAATAGGTTAGAAAATAGCCTATGTTAGAACCCTGCTCACTCATGTCAGATTTTGTTCAATAGGTAAAATTGACGAGAAACTAACCATAGTTAAACGTTGTCAACGTGATAATGGTTACCCTCAGAAATTTATAAACAAATATGGGAATACTAAAGTGAAAGAAATGGAGAAGAAGCCTGCATTCCCAAGAATTGTTTTCAATGATAATGAAATTGCTGTAATGGCTGATATCAGATTAGAAGTCACAATAATAAGGATTTATCTAGCTGCCAAACTGATCTTTCTGTATCAAACGTAGTGCTCATTAAGGCAACCATGTGTGGACAAATTCTCACCACAGGTTATCTCCAACTGTATCTGCCGGTTTATATGTACACACCAGAGCAAAACACGGAAAGAACAGAGGGGGTTAGCGTCCGCATTATTGGTTCTAATTTCTTAACTGATCTGTACCCAGGCAATTAATTTTGTTTTAAGAGTTACCTGATTATAAGAATATTTTATTACTTATAAGTAGTTCTGTCTCCATGTCCTCAGTTGTTTGGTTTCGAATGTTCTCGTGTTCAATCTCTAAATGATAGCATTATTGAACACATTAAAATCTGTAATCGTCCTTTCATACATATTGCTCTGTTCATTACTTCTCACTGAATAGAACTCTTCCGATATTATGTATTTATACTGACTTTTAGAGATTATTACTATTATGTTTGAACTGGAAACAGCTAATGAGCAACCGCGAAATATAATGAATTCATGTTATTCTGTTACATTTATTGTTCTTGCTTTAGTATAAACAGGATCAATCAAGAACACGGTCGCTCAAAAAGGGAGCCACCAGAAATCAAAATGTTAATTGAAACCAACATAAAAAACAATCAGGAATTCCAATGACATCAAAATGTTGACCACAATTCAGAAATTCTATATGATGTAAAACTAACAGTTGTGAGTAAACCAATAAGTAAACAAAATATACGTAAATACCAACGACAACAGGAGAGTCGTTACATATAAGGCGAAGCAAGAGAATAGACACAGAAAAAGTTTATTTAGTGGGTTTTTTTAAATATCTGACTTACCTTTACTGGTAGCTAAGTCGTAGAAGAATCTTTCGCTTAGGTGACCCAAGCAACCAACAGAGAGTCTGTAAAAAGTTGGGTGAATAAGAGCCAGCCGTAAACTGTCCGATGATGTGGACACGTCATAACTTAAGTATTTATCTGTCCCCCTGTTTTGTGTAGGCATTATATTTCCTGTTACCCCATAGTGAATGTTGTAAGTTTTGTGTTTGTAATCAGAACTTTGAGCTCCAATTGTTGTATTTGACAACCTGAATAACAATCTAATTCTGGATTTTTTCAGGACATAAAATAGTGGTGATTACCAGCATCAAAGGTCCAAAAATGAATTTGATGTGGTCATGACAAATCAGAAGGGCATCTCATACTAAGTTATCAATACTTCCCTTCCAATCAATTACAGTTGCTACTTCAGTGACAGCAGCAGTGCTTTAAAAAGAATCAGTTGAGATTTATAGACAAATCACTCACAGCGTCGCTGAATCATCCATTCTTCGGGGACTTGACGGGAGTGAATGAACTAATTTCTAAATTGCGTACAGTGCTGGAAAATGATTGCAGAATGTATGAATTTGTCGATGAAAGTTTCTATGAATCCTTAACCAGCAGTATTGTAAGCAAAGCCGTAGCAGTCACTCATGATCCGCCCAGTGGTCCAGAAACGTTCGTTTCAGAGACATTTTCTGTCGTAGGTTCAAATCACATTGTCTCCGAAACACAATGTTGCAAACACTGACTTGTCTAGCTCACAGAAGGATGATGTCTTGTTAAATGCACATGAAATTGTTGCAGTACCCGCTCACGAAAAGACGTAAAATGAATCGAGCAGCGTAATAAAGACAGTCGCATCAAATGGAGCTCATCGTTTTAGTTCTTATCTTAGTGACTCACATATTCTGGATCAAATTTCCAACAAAAATGAGAAAAATATGTCAGATGTATCAAACGATGATCAAGAACCTAATAAAATTTTAATAGATGCTGGATACCTTGTTGATCCACTATCTACCAAATACATTTTCAAGAAAGTCGAAAGCATTTTCCACGATGTGTAGAATTTAGACTATTAAAACTCCCTATCGAGAAACACGTCCAAAACAAAAAACCGACAACAAGTAGTCAATCAGTTAGTGGCGTCTCAGAAGAGAGAATTTGAACGTTTCCTTCGAATACTGTCGCTTCAAAAGATACCGCTTGTTCTCCTACTAGACTGTGACTGAAATATGTGTGACTTCTTACATATTGCTGTTATGATTTACAATAAGCCTATTTCTACCTCTTAAGCTACCTGATATGTCAGTTCCTCTGTTATTCATAGATTTGCGTTCATTTTACAAATTTGTTTAACTGATTTATTTTATTCTCAACACCGTATTTTTTCTCTCTTCTGCATTAAAATTTGTTTAGTTTTTGCATTGCAGCTAACAAAACCTCACTGATCTATGACAAACATTCTTTTTAAAGTTCCTGATATACAAGCTTGCAAAAGCTCGGATTCATTAAGATTGCTGTTCACCAGAGGATCTCTGAGGAAAGATTTTAGGATTTCATCCCTTGTTTTTTGTGCCGTATAGACTCATTACGGAGAGAGTACAGAGATCAGCAATTTAGGTGATCTGTGTCGACGACTGAGATCTACTCCAGTTGAATGGGAATAGTGTGATATTTTGACTTAGGTATAATTGACACATCGCAGTTGACATCTGGCGTGGATCACTCCTTTGTTATATCTATGTGCTGCAGCCAATATGATGTCCTTAAAAACAAACATGGTGTTACTAAAGTAATGTTTTCAGTTAGACTAGTTCAAAGAAAGGGTGCGCGGCCATAACCGCACGATTCCGTCTAGGGAGTGAGAATTTTGATACACAATGGTTTTCCTTGATCTCAAAATGTTCAAAATCCAGCGGCCGTCCTGCTAGATGATTTGGATAGGATTCTGTGATATTTCACTGACGCTGCACAAGTTATGCAGTTAAGGAAGGTGATATTGTAAAATACGAAGTCTATTTTGATAGCACGCCGGCAAACCAATTATGAAAAGCTTGGAAGGAGAGATGCCGATGCAAGAAAAAATGAAATATTTCCGAATAGTTTCGTCGCGCGAACGAACATAAAACGTGCGAATAAAGAAACATCAATGTTAAACCATGTAATATGATACTAAGCTGATACAATCGACTATCTCAATTAAGTTCTACCAAATTCCTAATGCTGTGATGAGGCAATAGGAAGCTTACGCGAAAAGTCACTTGGTTTACATCAAATGGTCACAGAGAACCTGGATATTGTATCTCTTAAAAAAATACATAGTCCACGATCACAAATATAGTTGAGTGGCTAGACTACCAAAACTGGGCTTATGCAATGGCCCGGAAAGGTACATTTACACTCACGAAGTATCTTCAAAGTAACCAATGAGTTTACACTAGCTGATCACAGAAATATTGGAGAATAGGTGTTACGGATTTCTGACGTAGCATTTTGTAGGTCACGTTCAGGGTCACTCCTTGCCAAGATTTCAAAACCTTCACGTTATGGATGAGTCTGTACTTTCAAAGTGCCAGTCTAAGAAGCTGGCTAAGCGTGAAAAGAAAATGGCTAAATTTGAAGCCAAACAGGAAAAACTTTCTTTAGACGCCTCAAAGGTACATTTTGTCCGTTTTTCTCGAATTTTCAGAATCAGAAGTCGTCAAAAAAAGACAAATTGAAGAAAGAGCAAGTTGTTCTGAATGCAGTGACAGACGCATCTGGCAAGAAAGGTTCGTGTGTCTTTTTTATTGTTGCTGTTTGAAGATATGACTGGTGAAATGCCCGAATCTTACTCCCCCAAATATGTTGAGGCCACGTGGTACGAATGGTGGGAGCGTAATGGACTTTTCAAACCAGAATTTCAGGTAATCCTGGTTATTAACTTTTAAATTCGTGTATTTACAAACTTTATTTATCATTTTTATCTCATTTTGTAGTCAGCAAGTAGATTATAGTTCTAGCTTTCTTTGTTAACATAATGAAAACTTCATAAATGCTACCGAATCGCGTTGCTTCGCTTCATTAGTTGTTAGGCTTTCAGTTTCAGTTATATGGTTGGGTTTTTAATCTTTTTGAAAGTTACATCAATCTGCTTAGGGTCTGGTTGGGTGCTGCTGTAGAGGAGCACCGGGTGACGAGACGGACTATCAAGTGCCTCTACAGCAACGTAAAAGGACTAGAGTGTAAATTAGGAGCGATCAGAAAGATTGTACATCAAAAGGCAAACGCCAAGGTACACTCCCGCATTCATTAAAAGCTGCCTCTATTTGGAACATCCCCTCAGCCGGTGACCACAGGCCCCTCTGGATAGCTTTAAGAGGAGAATTGACAGATACGTATTCACCCATGTTTTAAAATCTCCCTCTTGGATTAGGTGAGCCTAATGCACGTCTCATAAATTACCACAGTTGTCATTACGACATATCAGCAATTACATCATATCATTATTGTTATCATCTCTGTTCCCATTCTTATTCTTTCAATTCCATCTTACCTATTACCAAATAATTAATTTATTTATTCTTGAAACGGTCGTCTTCTTTTAGCGCTTGAATTACCACATTATTTTTCACATTGCAACCGACCAACATCGTGTGTGGTAGCTACCGGTATCCAGAATCCCTACTGCCCTGAGACAAATGCACTCAAACTAAGATATATGCAAACCCACAGATAACTACCACCCTGCCTAGGACTAGTGCACTCGAGTTGCTAGACCGCCACCCATTGAATATTATCAAAAACCTGGAACCGTAGTGAAACAACAAGAGGCGAGCACAAGGAAATCAATCGGTTTATTCAAGCTCGTGATAAAGAAGTTGGATATATTGGGTCATTTTGCAAAGCTCCGAAGACTTTTTTCGTACTATGTCACAAACTCATGGTCGCCTTAAATAAATCAACACTGTCGAGTTAGTCACACAGTCCATTATCTTATGGTAGTTTACAAGCGATTGTAGGAATTAAAATCTGCATAAACAAGTTGATTATTAGTCGTCTTACTGTGATTGCATCCAACATTTCTGGATGTTTCACCACATGTTTTACTTTTGTCTGATCACTTCAGATTATTAAATCCTCACAATAATGAATCGACTCGTTATTAAGTCTTAAGAAAAAGGCAAACTGTCCTAACCACGGACTTGTGATATACTCAAATCACTGAAAAATCAGAGTTACTGTAATCGTCAAAACTTGAACTATGCTGTCAAGTCAAAACTTGTGGGTAAAGTGGATAACTATTTCACAGTAAATTTAACTTCGTATGATACACGAATCTGTACATAGTGTGCACAAATACATCTAGAAAAACAGTTCTGTTTCATATCTCGCAGTCATATTCGCTACATAAATCATTGTTTTGCAATTGTGATTAATGTTTTGAGTGAACAAATGTAGATTGATTTAGTACATTTCGCTACCTCTACAGTAACATAAGGATACAGTTTAATTTCAATAAAACGTTCGCTTTTTCGTTATGAATCTTAAGATTGAAAGCCCAGACAAATTCGTTATGGTTATACCTCCCCCAAACGTCACTGGAGTCTTGCATTTGGGCCACGCTTTGACAAACAGTATTGAAGATGCCATTACACGATGGCACAGAATGAATGGAAAAGTTACACTGTGGGTTCCTGGATGTGACCACGCTGGTATTGCCACTCAGGTGAGTTCTAATGTTATATTAGACAGTGATATTTCTTTACAAGAATGAACTTAAATAACTGAAAGCACATCCTATTAACTACATCCGTGTTTTTTTATTAATATACCGATTGAAACCCATAAGGATCATTGACAATTGCTAAACAATAGGTAAAATATGCCGTAAATTTTCATATGAGTGAACATGATCAGTGAAATGCTCGTGATTTGAAAACTCACTCAAACATAAAAGCTTTGTAAATTGACTGGTTCTGTTGATGTTTTTTTACAATTCGTCCTATAAATCTCTTTTCTATTAGCCACTTAACCTGAATCTTTCGTTATTGTAGATTTATTTAGTCTCTGCATTAGTCCGTTTCCATCTAGACTTAAATAACCTAAACTCGATAATTGCATTTCGGAAAATACGTTTACTTATTATTATGGTGTAGTGTCTAGTGCTATGTCAAGCCCACATTGGTTATTCTAGCCTTCGGACAGACTAGTTTCTTCATTCTTCTCAAGCCACATTTTGGCCTTATTAATTATTCGCTGTTTTGATATGAGCGTATGTGTGTGCATTGCATATCCTACTCGTCAAATGTCTTTAACTTAATTTTGTCTGACTATAAATATCGAATCACGCTTAATCAAATCGAGTTGGATCTCTTGCCGTCCTTGCCTTTTATTCTGAATATCTGTCCGGATAAACAAATACTTCGAATGAATTTCATCAACGCAACCTGTATTTGGCTTCTTATTACCGCTGTGACACAAATGGGGTTAGCCTAGGCAACATATGCAATTAAAAGGAAGATTTTGTAGATGCTGGTACTACGTCAAGTCTACATAGGTTATTCTAGCCTCTGAAGAGATCAATCTATTCATTTTTCTCAAGCCACATTTTTACCCTCTCACTTATTCGCTTACCAATCTTGACTGTTTTTATGTAAGTGTATGTGTGTGCATTTATTTTACCCATCACATGTCTGTAACATATTTCTATTCGACTATAAAGATCGATTCACACCTGGCTAAATTGAGTTGGCTCACTCGCGTGTCGTTTTCTGATTCGCTTTTCAATCAACGATTGTACGGAATATACGTATTCAAAAACCCATTCTCATATTTGACTTATTTAATCCCGTTATTCACCAACGCGATTTAAGTCAATGAATATGTACGAGGATTGGCGCAGATAAAGCACCGTTTAAACGTACCATTACTTTAACCACCGAGCCAGTGGATTCACAGTTTTCCTACCACTTAGATTCATATATATCATACAGTTCTCAATACTACATTTTTGTTTACTGTAAATTAAGTATATGATAATTCATACCAAAAATTTTAGGTTTGCTACTATTGTTTTTATTCCCAAGCAAAATGTGTAGCCAGATAATCATGTCAAACTTTAGTAATGATAATTACAAATGCATTATTTATTTATTTATTTTAACACATAGATAGTGAAACAAGGAGGCACCAAATATATATGCGCTACACAGATCTCATTTGATATGTGTGAGGGCTGTGATACTGCCCGGGTGCCCAAACCGAAGCAGGTGGTTTTCTTAGGGGGCCACACCCGGAGCCTTCGACCTGAAGGTTCGACCAACAAAGGAGTGGAGCAACGTAAGGAGATGCAGTCCCATGGTAGTCGTTGACCAACAATAGGTTTATATGCCATTCGTTCCTTCAGGATCTTGAGGCCCACGTGCATCATTGGTTTGGAATCAGGGTTTTCCAACTCCCCTAGGTGGATCTTTCGTATCCACCAGTCCGGTTAAATTGCCAGACATTCGCTTTTCGTCCTCTTAATTTCGTAAATAAGTGTCTGGCCACGAGAATGCAGTGAGTAGAACTTCTCTGGCAGAGGCTATATACGCGTGGTCATGTGAGAGCATTTCGAGAGGGAGAGTAAACTCTACCGACTCTCGGATGTAACAGGGCATTACTAACCAAATTAAACTACTCATGGACAATTGTAATTGGTATGGTCAGATAGTCTAAAGATTTCTAATTTTTAACGTTTGTAAACCAAGTAACTACATTTAAGTTTCCGAAATGTCAAAACACTTATGATCATCTTAAAAACAATATTTACATTATCATTTCATCATAGGTAGTGGTAGAAAAAAAGTTGTGGAGAGAGAAAAATCTCACTCGACATGATATTGGACGTGATGAATTTGTGAAAGAAGTTTGGAAATGGAAAGAAGAGTAAGATTTGTTTCATAAATTAATCATTTGTGTTGGTTTTTAGTATGATGTTCATCAAAGAGCATTAAACATGTCATATAAATAGATTAGTTATTCATTTTTGTAAGCACAATAAATCAGATTTAGTATTTTAACCACACAATATATTAGTCAGACTGGTTCTTCCCCTGTAGTTATCACATGATATATACCCTTTCTTTTGAGCTGGTACAATAAACAACCTTAACTCGTGTGATGGAATTACATTGAACTGCTTAAACGTTAGACTATCTCAGTCAACCTAGCTGTTAAAACTGAACCACTATCCGTAATTATTTTTGTAGTCAACGTGTCGTGATTTTTCCAACATAACTAAAAGTTGGATATCTAATGTCGATATCTTTTCAAGGTGTTTATGAGTAGTAGGCAAGTAGCAGGAATCTTGAAACCAGTTAAAGGTGACATCCTATCAATCACGTTAGCGCAGTTGGGTTCTGTTTTTATTTGCCTCTAAATCTTAAGGTTGCTGTTATGCTATATTTTCCATTCTTCGATCTTATTTGTTCCTTACTAAACTAAAATTTTGTGGTTGATTTCCTGTTCCATTTGATATTATTACTATTTCCATTGTTATTATTATTTCAACCCGTTGCGTACTTCTCGCTTTATTAATTTTATCTCTCGGTTTCCAAAAGTGGTTCGATTCGCATTTTCTCCAGTTCTTATATTATCTATGATTGACTAACTGATCATTTGTCCTTATACGCTTCACGTTAGTTAGTATTAACGAGTTAAAGGTTAGTGTTCAACCTGCTAAACTATCAGACAGTACCTGACACTTGCTTTATTGACTCTGTGATACATTCCACAGCATTTATTTTGTTTTACACAGAGGCTACTAAAGGATTGTTTGGTAAACATTCATAGTCAACGTAGGACGTGGCAGATACTTGCGTCGGTTCAATTTCTCACAACATATTATCTCAGCGAGATGTAAAGTTAAACAATGGGAGCGTTATGTTTAAACGAATGTTTACAACAAATTTAAATAGAAATGAAAGAAGAACAGCATTTAAAGTGGACAAATATAGTGACAGTTCACCACAGGCTCTAAATCTACCGGTATTATTGTAGTGGAGTTTATACGAGGTTGATACATTTTGGTACGCCTTTCAATGTTAGACACTACCACGAAATCCGAATTAACTGTGTCGAATGGTGCTTTATGTTCAAAGACCTATAGTCGGACGTCGGAAAGTATGGTTTTATTCCAGAACCTGACAAGGGCCAAACACTTGGGGTGGTGACTTATTGGTTAAGACATTTGACCGTCGGCCACTAATTTCCAGATTCGAACCTCACTCCACCTACCTCGGTTTAAGTGACTGGGTAATAGAAGTCGTCCTCACACTTGGTATGGTTCCTACCCAAATACCGGGCAAATGAGTTAGTCATAATGATGGATAAATCCTTATCCAGGTCAAAAGTCTGCCTAGTTCTCCCGGGTTCACTCTTTACTAGCCATAGCTAAATGTGCGATGACTATTAAAGTTGTTATTTTAGACACTATATTGACCAAACTGATTCTTTTATGGCCGCCACAAGAAGATTTCTGTCCTTTCTTATAAGCTGGGACAAGCAACGATTAAAATCAGTCAGGTGGATTCTAGCTAATATCTCAGTCAATATGACTGCTAAAACTAGACTGCTGTTCTTAAAGACCTATATAAGAGCCCGCTTGTCTCCCTTGTTTTAGACTAACTGTGCCTTTTCCAACTTCATTAAGAGTCGGAGACCTGGAATTCTACGTGATCGGTTGTTTTGTGGTGGACGGATACGTGGATTAAGGTACCCTAATTAAGTTACATTCATTTCTTCACGCCACTGCCCGACCGTAGCTTTTACACTAACAGGGTGATTTTGCTTGCTAATCTTGATCAGTCGAGCCATATTGGATAAAACATATTTTCATTGAGGTCCTACCATGCTAAACAAAACGAATGGATAATAATAGAATCAAAAACATAAAATTTGTATTAGAGTCGACCATAATGATGTTTCCTTATCAAATCAGTTAGTCTCATGCATTATTTTCCAGTACCAGTTGCACCATTTTCTTTTTCCCTTCACTACGACAATTTAAATAACCTTTATTTATCTTTTTAGAAAGGGTGATCGCATTTATCAACAACTTAGAGCTTTGGGAAGTTCTTGTGATTGGTCTCGAGCTAGATTCACTATGGATCCATCCATGTGTAAAGCTGTTACAGAGGCTTTTATTCGTTTGTACGATGATGGTTTAATTTATCGAAGCCTTCGATTAGTCAATTGGTCTTGTACTTTACGTTCAGCCATATCAGATATCGAAGTAGATAAACAAGAACTTTCTGGACGTACTTTACTTCGTGTTCCTGGCTATAATAAACCTGTAGCATTCGGAGTTATCGTATCGTTTGCCTACCCTCTTCTACCTGGTAAGCATTTCTCCCAGCTATTGTTTCTCTCCATAACTTTCTTCTATCATCCAATTCCGTTTCATTTTAGACGACATCAAATATCCTTATCAACTTAAATTGGTGATGTAGAACGTTGGTTTAATGGTCGAAGTAATTCAATAGGCATCTTTATGCATTTGTTTCTAGAATTTTCATGTTCATAGCAATAGTTTAAACCGCGTAGGAAAAACGAAAACTTTCGATCTCTTTTTCAAATGTTTTTGAATCCTATAGATTATTCTGAATGTCTATAGTGTGTATCATCAACCATATAAGTGTTTATTTACTTACATTTATTTAAAGGCTAGTGATACTACTACTCAGCTACTCAAACTGAGATAATTTTATAAGTTTAAAACCTATGATGTTTGTAGTTAAAAGTCGAATAATTTTGCTATTAATTTATTTACTTACGCCTGTTACTCATGGAGAAGCATAGGCCGCCCACCAGCACTCTCTATCCAACCCTGCCCTGGGAAATCCTTTCCAGCTCCTTCCAGTTGTTATTCATCCTTTCCATATCTAATTCTATTTCCCGACGTAATGTGTTCTTTGGTCTTCCTATTTTCCGCTTTTTTTCAGAATTCAAAGTTAGGGCTTGCCTCGTGATGCAGTTTGATGATTTATGTAATGTATATCCTATCCACTTCCAACATCTTTTCCTAATTTCTTCTTCAGATGGAAGCGGGTTTGGGTTCATGTGAAAACCGCGATCAATAGTTTGAGACGTTGGTTCAGAATCAATCGCAATGGCTCAGATACATTTACTTTTCATTATCCCTTGGATCCCGAGATTCAAAATTATTTCCTATGTCCATCCATTATATTTTGTATATTTAGTTCCTTTATGAATAATATTAGTACGTTGTGTATCACTAACTTGCTTGAGTTTGGACATATAGCTAGCATTGTTTACTTTAGCATTAGATGTGTAACTCACTAACCAAGAACAATAGCCTTACAATTGATATATTTGCCTTTCAACTAGCACGCTGCCTTTTCGAGACTTATATTTGTCTAGGGAGCGGGTATGGTATCGCCAGCCTAAATGTGTACTTGGTAAAGATATATGATATTATTCGTACAATTTCATTCTTTTGTATATATTGTTTTGATAACTTTTTCATCTTAAATTGTTAAACTTTGGTTCATTTTATGCTGTTCTCTTCTTCATTAACAGATCCTAGTAAAGTTGGATCAGACACTGAAATTGTTGTCGCAACCACACGACTTGAAACAATGCTAGGTGATACAGGCGTTGCTGTACATCCTGACGATGATCGTTATCGACATTTAATTGGTCGTCTAATCATGCATCCACTTATTCCGGATAGATTAATTCCCATTGTTGGTGATACATTTGTTGATCCGAACTTTGGAACTGGTGCTGTAAAAATAACACCTGCTCATGATTATAATGATTGGGAAATCGGGAAAAGGCATTCACTTCCGACTATAGTAGTAATTGGTGAAGATGGTTTGATGACATCTGCTTCAGGTCCCAGATTTGCAGGTATGAATAAACCATGTATTTAGTGAATACTTGTTGTTAGACTCAATAACGTTTCTCAAAATTGCACCTCTGTACTTGCGGTACAAACTTCAAAGAAGTATTTACTATCGAAGTATGTTTTTAACCAATCACGTCGATAAGTTAGATAAAGAAAACATAAACACTATAAGTATTTTCTTTAAAAATAGTTTGATAAAAATATAGAAATTTGATCTTTCAACTTGATCATCAGTGTCCGATTAAATAATCAACCATCAACGTGGTAATATACTGCTTTAGTATGCTGCGACTTATTGACAAACAACACTACAAGACTTTTCGATCAATGGAATTTAGTACTATTGTTTTACGAAAACAATTAACTAATTATCAGTATGGGGTTGTAGAGATTATTCAGTTTTTGATTGGGATCATGAACCGATTGGTGTTAGACCGCCATCGAAAACGTGGAAGCGCTGTATATCAGTTGGTTCATGATCCCAATCAAGAACTTAATAATCTCGAAAACCCCATGCTGATAATTACCATGTGTACACCAGTGACTAGCTTCGTGAGGGAATTCTCGGAGTTCTAGTGAAAAGCCGTGACCAGTGGGATAAAAACAGGTATCTACCTCAGTACAATGGAAGGTGGTCGCGCAATTTTGTGGATTGGTTGAAGTTAGACATTAACACCGTTGAATGCCGGCTCAGTGATCTAGAGGTTAAGCATTCGCGCGCGAGACATATGGACCTGGGTTCGAATCCCTTTGGTCGTTGCTGCGCACCGCTGAGGAGTCACAATGAGACTAAACGGCCGTCCAGTGCTTCCAGGTTTTCAATGGTGGTCTAACGTCAATCGGTTCATGATCTCAACCAGAAAATTAACTAATTAGTACAGATTTGACAGGAAGATTCACTTTAAGTCGAAAGTCTATTGTTGTACGAGTTTCAGTTACGTGTTAGATAATTATACAAGTTAGGCTATTAAAAACAACTTTAGTCATAGTGATTTTTTCGTAATCATCACAGCAAAAATAAACGATTAAAAGCAGGTCAACTCTTAACTTAGTCAATTGCAATAACGGTATTAATCCTGAACTATCATTCTTTAAGACTTCTGAAATTCTCTTTTCAATTGTGGTATTCATCTCAATTACTCTAAATTACTTCCAATCATCTTAACTACACCAACACATAGATGTCTAATTTCTACTGTCCATTTACACTGTAGTTGAGTAGTTAACAACAGTAGAATATGAATAAAGACTAGTTGTTTTGTTCTTCAAAGTAGTATTTTCACTCTTTTTGTTTTATTGATCAACTAGATTCCATTGTAATTCTTTTTAAAGGATTGTTTTTTTCTGTTTAAGTTGAGTGGCCGTATTTCAATTTATAATTGCTTTTAATACAAACACATCACTAAAGTTCACATGGAAATATTTCGTTCCCATTTCCCTACTTCAATATGAAGCGATCCATTAAACTGACTTAAAACTCCATTGGCAATAGCCAATTAAAATGAGGTTTGAATTTATGGAGTTTCAGAGGCATAAGATTCAGTCTAATGTTGATAGGATACTAGATAAATGAAGTAGCATTATATTCAAATGTCCATCGTCTTGTTTTGATAAACCTAGCATTCATAAGATCACTCTGCCAGGGAAGTCCTACTCGTTGCCTTCTCGTGGCGGGGGTGTTGTTTACAAAATTGAGAGGACGAAAAGCGAATGTTCGGCGCTTTAACCGGGTTGGTGGACTTGGAGAGTCCACCTAGGAGAGTTGGAAAACCCTCATTCCAAACCAATGGTTCACATGGGCTCCAGTACCCTGAGGTAACAAATGGCGTATGAACCAATCGTTGGTCACCGGCTATCATGTGACTGCATCTCTTTATTATGCTCCACTGCCTTGTGGATCCAGACCTTTAGGTCGAATGCTACAGATGTGACCCCCTAAGAAAACCACCTGTGTCGGTTTGTGCACTCGAGCAGTATCACAGCCCTCACACATATCAAATTAGATTTGTGTGGCGCATATGTATCTGGTGCTCCGTTGTACCAGTATTTATGTGTTCAAATAAATAATAACATAAGATCACTTAAAACTGCTACACAATATCCTTTTTGATTATATGAGATACCTTAAGTGAATCATAAGTTTTGTCATCATCCGGTTGTGTAATATATAGTTAAGGAGAAATAACAAGACAGTACAGTCAAAGCTTTGTTACTGTGTTGTGGGTGCCTGGACAAGTTTATACGTCACTTGTATGATATGATTGATGATAATAATTATGTACTGATCTTTAAAACAGTATCAACATAGTTGACATAACTGTAAGATCCCTATCAGAGAATTAGAAGAGATTGTTAGGCTCTTTTTTCTAAACCGTGCTGATTCTTGCTAGTTGTTCAGCATCCAATGGCGAAAATAAAATTTATGGACGAACCAATGGAATTAACGATGGCAAGCGTTGTATTTTGGCACACAGTCGATTTATCCGTATGTCTAAATAGAATTTTACTACTAGTTGATGTCATTATATGATGAAAACTCAATTTTTAATACCTAACGCTAACTTCTAACTCTCTACCTTCATCCTAATTCCTTATATTAATCTATAATCCTCTTTTAACCCTAATAAGTAGGTAAGTTTACTCAAGGTCGCTTTAGCGTCATTCAAAGGCCATCCATAAATTATAGTCTCATTCATCCATGGCTTAAAATCGTTTAAAATAGCGCAGGTACATCCACTCTTTGTGTTCCGATCTTCTGAATTCTTCATGTCCCTTGTTTTTTGTCTTTCCAAATTTATTTCACTGGATTATACTCCTTAGATAACATCTTCAAACCCTAATCTTTCCGATTACTGCTTTACTATCTCTACCACTACGGGATTTGAATCAACAATTCTATCTGTGTGATAATTTGGTATAGCAACTCGAACTGATGTACGTACGTACGAAGTTCTACGTTGTTGCAGACTGACCGAGTCTCATTCATCCAATACCCTACCTTTACGTTTTTATCTTTTCCTAATCGACACTGAATTAAAGAAAAGTTTAGTCACGTACTTTACTTCGTTTAAATTATTTTAAAATAATAATGATAAATTTAATATTGGCTTTACAGGACTTCAAAGATTCGTTGCTCGAGATGCCGTTCGGAAAGCTCTCGATGAATTAGGCTTGTATAGAGGTGAAAAAGATAATCCTATGGTTGTGCCGATATGTTCTCGAAGCAAAGATATTGTTGAACCATTGTTGAAACCGCAATGGTACCTACGTTGTCAGGATATGGCTAATGCGGCAATGAAGGAGGTTGGTTTTTTTATAAAAAGAATTTTGATTACTCTTCATGCTACCAATTGTTGTATTCAATTATAGTTTCTCTTCAAAACTTATTTTGATTACACTATCATAGACTGCCTTGTTTAGTCCGTGTTTATAGGTGTAGATTACCTGGTTGAATCTCACCTCTTAGTTGCGATTAGTAGTTTAAGATGGTGAATGACGTGGTTCCAAAATCCATCAAACTGGCCCAGATGAACTCATTCTTTGTCTGTTTCTAGATGTTAAGTTCCAGTATTCCATCTTACGTACCTTTCCATCCCATCTTATCGAACCATATTCTACTTTTTTTGTACTTCTCATTACTACTATGATCATTTCGACCTGTAAGTTGTTCGTTTTGTTCATTTTACCTCGTTGTACTGACATGCGGTGTGGTAACTTCCAATTATGGATATTTGCACCAGATTCCACATTACATATGACTGACCATATGTTACTTACGACTTACCTCCAATGGATCATAGGCCACCGACAACCATTCTACAATCCACTCTGTCCTCGGCCTTCCTTTCTAGTTCTATCCAACTCTTGTTCATTCTTTCCATGTCTGTCTCCATTTATCGGCGGAATGTGTTCTTTGGTCTTCCACTTCTCCTTTGACCTTGAAGATTTCATGTGAGGGCTTGTCTTCTGACGCAGTTGGGTGATTTCATCAATATGTGTCCTATCCACTTGAAGCACTTCTTCCTGATTTCTTCCTCCACGGGAATCTGGTTTGTTCTCTCCCACAGTAGGTTGTTGCTAATAATGTCTGGTCAATGGATCCGAAATATTTTGTGTAAATAACTGTTAATAAACACTTGTATCTTCTGAATGATGACTTTCATAGTTGGCCAAGTTCCCACCCCATACAGTAGAACTGTCTTGACATTTGTATTAAAAATTCTGACCTTGGTGTTGGTTGATAGGCAGTTGTTTTAAGTTCCATATCTTCTTCAATTTTAGATATGCTTTTCTTGCTTTGGCGATCCGTGCCTTTACATCTGCATCAGATCCACCCTGTTCATCGATGATGCTGCCCAAATACGTAAAGGTTTTTACATCTTCCAAATCTTCTCCGTCAATTGTGATTGGATTGGTGCATTCTGTGTTGTATCGGAGAATCCTGCTTTTCCCTTTGTGTATGTTGAGACCTACTACTTCTGAGGCTGCTGCCACACTGGTCGTCTTCTCTTGCATTTGTTGTTGGGTGTTCGATAGAATAGCCAGATCATCCAGCTACATTCTAGCTGTCCATTGTATCCCATGCTTCCCCTCAGATGTTGACGTCTTCATTATCCATCCAGTCGATCACTAGGAGAAAGAGAAAGGGTGAGAGTAAGCAACCTTGCCTGACACCGGTCTTTACCTCGAACGAGTCTGTGAGTTGTCTTCCATGCACGATTTTGCAGTTTAATCCATCATAGGAATTCTGTATGTTATTAACTATCTTCTGAGGCACGCTGTAATGTCGGAGAAGCTTCCATATTGTTGCCTCGTTCACGCTATCAAATGCTTTCTCGTAGTCAATGAAGTTGATGTAGAGTGATGAGTTCCATTCAATTGATTGTTCCACAATGATCCGTAGAGTCGCGATTTGGTCTGTACACGATCTATCCGTACGGAATCCAGCCTGTCAATATGGAAGTTGAACGTCTACGGTATCCTTCATTCTGTTTAGCAATACCCTGTTGAAGACTTTTCTTGATATTGAGAGAAGAGCAATGCCCCTGTAGTTATCACACTTGCTGAGATCTCTTTTCTTTGCCATCTTGATCAGGTGTCCTTTTCTCTAGTCTCTTGGTACTTGTTCTCCATCCCAAATCTTGCTGAAGAGAATGTGGAGTATCTTTGCAGTTACTACTACATCTGCTTTCAGTGCCTCTGCTGGAATGTTGTCTGGTCCTACTGCTTTGCCACTCTTGATTTGTCTGATGGGTCCAGTGGAGCTGGTCGATTCAAGAGTTATTTGAAGTGTTCTACCCACCTGTTTCGCTGTTCTTCGATGTTGGTGATTATTTTGCCCTCCTTGATTTTCACTGGTCGTTCTGGTTTATGATAATTTCCAGCGAGTTTCTTCGTTGTGTCATACAATTGTCTCATGTTTCCTTCTCTTTCAGCCTTTTCCACCGTCATTGCTAGATCTTCAACATAATTTGCATTTGTCGGTTCTGATGCTCCTCTTCACTTGCTTGTTCACTTCTGCGTATTCAGCTTGTGCCTTGGCTTTCTCTGTTCTTGTTCGGACGGTATTGATTGCTTCTATCTTGTTCCTCCTTTCTTGAATCTTATCCAGTGTATCAAGAGTGATCCATTCTTTGTGATGGTGCTTCTTGTGACCGAGGACCTCATGACATTTTGAAGTGATTGCCTCTTTGGTCCCTTTCCAGTTGCTCTCCATAGTAGTTCCTTCTCCATTGAGTAGATCATGAAGGGCCTGGGACTTGTTGCTGAGGACTATTATGAATTCGTTGAGTTTTCCAGTATCCCGGCAAAAAAGCCGTATTAAACTTTTGTGCTGTTGTCCGCTCCGTTTCCCAGTGCTTCCTAAGTTTCAGTTTCATCTTGGCGACCAGCAAGTGATGATCTGATGCTATACCAGCTCCTCTCTTGGTTCTCACTTCCTCCATCGTCTTTCTGAACTTTTTGTTTATGCAGATATGGTCGATTTGGTTTTGCGTAGTGTGATCCAGTGAAATCCATGTGGTTTTGTGCATGCTTTTATATGGGAATATGGTGTCGCCTATGACCAGTTTGTTGAAGGCACATAGGCTTGCAACTCTCTCATCATTGTCGTTCCTTTCTCCCAGTCCATGTCGTCCCACGATGTCTTCATATCCGGTGTTGTCCATTCCAACCTTGGCATTTAGGTCTCCCATCACAATGGTCAAGTCCTTTATTGGGCATTTCTCAACGACTGACAGCCTATCGTAGAATTAATCTTTTATGTTTTCATTGTAATGATTGGTATGCGCATAACATTGGATGACGTTCATTGTAATGCCCTCTTTCTTTGTTTTGAAGGAGGCTTTGATGATCATGGGTCCATGAGATTCCCATCCTATAAGTGCTTTTTGGTTTGTTTAGATAGCACCAATGCAACTCCTTGTGTATGAGGAGCATTTCCTTCTTCATGGCTGGAGTATATAAGCAGCCCTCCTGAAGCTCGTCTATGTTGTCCAACCTGCGTCCAATATGTTTCACTAATTCCAAGCACCTCCAGGTTGTATCTTTACGTTTCTGCAGCAACGCGAATGACTCTCCCAGTCTCCCACATTGTATGGACATTCTATGTACCTAAATTAATGGTTTCTCTGGATTTTAGAAGGGGCATCAACCTCTTGACTTCCGAAGGAACTAGGTTTTCATCATGAGACGTCATAACTCTTCTAACTCCCAGTGAAGAGTGTAAATGGTTTGAATTATTTATTATGGTTAGCGTTTTAGCGAGTTAGTTTTCTACGGGGTGGGGTCGCTAACCCTACGCCCAGCCCTCCCCCTTACCCGGGCTTGGGGCCGGCAGTAGCCCAGAGGGTCTCCAGGCGGTAATAAATGAGACGTAGTTTTACGAATCACTTCTCTTTCTGATAAATAATATGGCTAAGGCAAGCTCAGTCACTGTAAATGTACGAAATAACTTAGATTTACAACAGATTAGATTGATGTAGTGCACATGTATATTATGCTAGGTACAAATAACAAAACAAAGAGTAACAAGCGTAAGTATGATTTTAGTGAGTTGTTATTCATGCATTCACGATTTATCTATCTACGACACCTAACAGCCTTTGTTTTGTTCTAAATAAAGTTTAAGGCTTACTCAAGGCAATCATTTATATTCATTCTTATTGTTCAGTAGTGGAGTCGCTACTACTTTACATTTTTTTTACCCTCAACAAATTGGTTTGTTTCTAACTTGATCAAGTGGTTAGTTTAGTTTTAGAAAAATGAAATAGTGTTGTTAGAACATGCCTGCCAAAAGACAGGCTTCCGCCTGAGAACAACTATATTTTCTCCATGAGTGTCTTCGCCAGCATGTTCTACCAACAAGTGTAAGATATAGACCTCCAATCAACTGCCCATTAGGATGGAGGATAGCCGAGCAAAGTGGAAGAAAAATGGTACACCTAATGATAACGGATGCACACTACAGGATCTGCAAATACCAACACGTCATAGAGGACCAAAAGATAAAGCTACAAAGGATGCTCACATCAGAACATTTGGAAATCGTGACAACAGCCATCGAGATATCATGCAAACGACATAGAGAACAAAGAAGAAACACCTTAAAGAAAAAACTAATCAAGATCTCAAAACCACCCATGGAAGAAAACACAAACAACTGCGTGATCAATCTGTCAAAACAACCACAACAAATACGGAAGAACACCTGCTCCAAAAAGGATTAAACTACAATACAAGCGACGCCTCAAAGCTGTAGTTCTTCGCAGTACTAGAGTCATCACTCAAAACTTCCGGAATCAGTGAAGAAACACAACAGGAAATAAGGCAAACTATAGTACCGATAACTCAACAGGTGAAAGAAAACAACCAACTGACTCCACAAGAACAAAAGGCCTTGAAAGAACTCAGAAATAGAAAAGATATTGTCATAATACCAGCGGACATAGGACGCACCACAGTAATCATGGACAAAGAAGAATACGTCAACAAAGCCGAAGAACTACTAGAAGATAAGAGCATATACAAACTAATGGACACAAATCCCGTCAAAAAATTAGACAACCAAATCTCAAAGACGCCAAAAGAAATAGTGTTGTATTTCACTACAGTCCATGAATTGGATTTTATATATGTTTTACTAAAATAGTGTTCATTAGGCGTCTTTTATTAGCTCCATATAATAAATTTCATTTTTGAGATGATGGTTTACTCTGTATATGATAATAATGTTGTTGTTTTTTATTCCCAACAGGTATCTGAAGGTCGCTTACGTATTATTCCCAGTTTCCATATCCGTACATGGAATAATTGGCTTAAAGATTGTCATGATTGGTGTATTTCTCGACAATTATGGTGGGGACATCGTATTCCTGCTTATCATGTTTCGATTCGACGTCCTGGCGTAGATAATTTAGAAGTTTTAGATGTAAGTGTTGAATTTTAGGTTTTTTTAATAATTGAGTTCATGAGTCAATTAAAGCTAGACCACCGTAAAAAACCTAGAAGCACTGGACGGCCGTTTCATCCTATTATGGGACTCCTCAGTAAAGCGCATCGACGATCCCGCTCACTGAATTCGAACCCAGGACCTTCGATCTCGCGCGCGAGCGCTTAACCTGAGCTGGCATCTTATGGTGGCAATGTCTAACTTTAACCAACCCATGAACTCAACTGTTAAATTACTACGATCTCCACAAAATCCCTTTTTGACAATTATAATTTCTTTTTTGTGTTCTACATTTTTGAAGGAATTTTTGGCAAAGCTGTGATATACTGATCACCTTGGGGTGACTTATCAGCCAATAAGGAGACGCTGCCTAGTTATAAAACAGTTAACAATATAAAGTAATGAAATTACGGTGGAATAACAGCTTCGATCGCTATCATTAACCCTCACTAGTCAAATTATCCCTTGTAGTAAAGAAAAAATGATGGAAAGTTTACATATTATGTATATATATTAGAAGTTAAGCTTGTGTTTTGAGTTAGGGTTATTACCTCATGGAGTTTTCGTCACAACCTTATAATGCGAAAAGTTTAAAGTTAAGTATTAAGAGTTAAACTGGAGTTTGGTTTACAAATTAGGATCAAGGATTTCAACACGAACTGATATCAACTATAATGTAATGCCTTTCCACCTTCCTGTGTTCAAACTTGAGAAACCTAGGTTTGAAATTTCAAGTGAAATTAAGTGAAGGGAGAATATTATCTAGCTTCACTAAACACTCTTGATTACGCAATAAATGACATCAAGTACTGTAACATACAATCTGCCACAGGAGCATGTGTATTTTGTAAGTTAGCTAAAGTACCATTTAAAATTGACTTTTTGATTGAGAAATAGATATTTTCATTGATTTAAAGCATTTTAAGGTCCAAATATTCCCAATTTTTACTTGGTTAATCATAACATCCATGTTACATATCACAACACTTTAAGCTCCGCTCAAAAATACATTAGGTATTACTCTGGATCTGATTGGCTAACTGAAGGCCTTCAATGTATTGTAATTTTATCGAATTGTCATTCTAAACTTTTCATTTATCAATCTTACTTGTTAAACTCATTTTCCAATTACTATTTTTTTTAATTTCAACACATAGATAATGGTACAAAGAGGCACCAAATACATGTGCGCCACACAAATCTCATTCGATATGTGTGAGGGCTATGATACTGCCCGGGTGCCCAGACCGAAGCAGGTGGTTTTCTTAAGGGGCTACTCCCCGAGCCTTTGACCTAATGGTCTGATCCACAAGGCAGTGGAGCATCGTAAGGAGATGCAGTCCCATGGAAGCCGGTGACCAGCAATTGGTTCCTACGCCATTTGTTCCCTCAGGATACTGGAGCCCATGTGAACCATTGGTTTTGAATCCGGTTAAAGCGCCGGACATTCGCTTTTCGTCCTCTCATTTTCGTAAACAACACCCCCGCCACGAGAAGGCAGTGAGTAGGACTTCCTTGGCAGAGGCTATATACGCGTGGCCGTGTGAGAGCATTTCGAGAGGGAGAGCGGACTCTCCCCACTCTCGGCCGTACCAGGGCATTTGGGGGCACCAATTACTATCAGAGTATAATCTGCTTTAATAATTTAAGTAATTCACTAAATTTCAACATAAACACAAAACAGTTGACTATGTTGAACTAATCTGTATAAAATGAGCATTTAGACATCGTACTTTCACTCAGTGATTTCATGCTGCCCTCCCACAAAAAGAGGTGGGGTTAGAAAAGGTTGACCCTAAAATGCACACTTCGCCTTATCTCACGGATATCCGTCTCCGGCGGTAAGGTCTCAACAAGTACGGAGCTAACACAAAAATTACTCATAAAAAGATTGCGTGTGATCGACCTCAAGCAGTTGTCTCTTGGGCATTGCGGTCACGCTCTCAGGTCACTAAGACCACCTCTAATCCAATTTCCTTTTCAGGTACCTCCAGAACAACCCTTCCACGGTATGGGCAACGGGGAAGTGATAACCGCCCTCATACCTATACCAGCACTCAAGACTGACTGACAGTAAACCTCCTTATCATATTCTCATTCTTTAAGATATGACGTCAATTTATTCTCGTTTGCATATCCTCACCAATGCTGTTAATAGTGATGTTCAAAATGTAATGAAACTCAAAACTTATTTAGTTGAGATTTATAAAGATACGTTAAATGATCAAATCAAGTGTTTGATCAGAGTGTAACTTCATTAAAACATTTGGATTGTTCTTAATAGGAATTAGATTCCATTTTAATTTTCTTTTGGATTTATTGTTGTTTCAGCCTACAGATCATAATTCATGGGTAGTTGGTCATACAATTGAAGAAGCACTTCAAAAAGCCTGTGATAAATTCCATTGTTCACCAGATAACTTAACTTTAAACCAAGATAATGATGTATTAGATACATGGTTCTCTTCACAATTATTTCCATTCTCTGTATTTGGTTGGCCTGAACAAACACCAGATTTAAAAGCTTATTATCCTGGTAGTTTATTAGAAACTGGGCATGATATTATATTTTTCTGGGTTGCACGTATGGTTATGATTGGTTTGAAATTAATGGGACAATTACCATTTCATACTGTCTATTTACATGCTATGGTTCGTGATGCTCATGGCAAAAAAATGAGTAAATCTTTGGGTAATGCAATCGATCCAGTAGATGTCATCAATGGAATATCTTTAGAAGGTACGTTATGATTGTTATTCATCATTGTTTATCTCTCTCTTTCTGTGTATTATGTTAGATATGACTGAGACCTTGATCACGGACGTAGGTAGTATTGTTTTGCATTACATCAGTTGATAATTTGGTTTGGGATTTTCGAAGACGGAGTATCAGTTTTCGTGTGATTGTATAAAGCACCCGAATTACTTGACATAGAAGAGTCACATTTCAAAATGCTTGATAAAATGTGGACCCGGAACAAGATATTGAATATTTGCTAAACGATTGTTCAATGCGAGCATCTCGATTGTGGAGGAAATTAGTCTCAATCTGTTTTGTGCTGTGTTCAGTTCTCATGGACGATATCAGTTCTAATCAAGATAGAATACTTGCATTGCCAACCAGCTCTCAATAACACGAAATCTACGTTCGGGGATTTCTGCTACTTTGCCTACAATGCCTAAGGTATTGGTCCTGCACTCTTTGTTAATCATGTCGTAGAGTAGGTGAACTCCATTATTATTAGGGAGGGCGTGCGTGCAGGCAGTTACCACCTCCTTACTTCCTGCACCATGGAGGAATATTACTTTTTGAAGGACTTAAAACGAAGATTGAGTCAGTAGGTGTCATGATAACCTAAGAAATCGACCATTGTCTATGACCAATCACGCATACTTCTGTATCGGAAATTTTTAAGGCCAATCTTGTAAAAGTCCTAATTGAAGAAAGACATCATCACTCAATATTCATGCAAAATACCATTCTGCTATCATACCCGCATGTACAGTTGAAAATGTAACTTCTTCTTTTAGACTTTAGATTTACCACTTTTGATCTTACCACTCTCCATCCAAATTTGTTTGGCATATTAAACATCCTTTTAGAAATAATTATTTCAATGAGCATAGCTTGACTTAGTCATCACAATGGATAGACAAAGTTTATCACCAAATCAAAATAACAGTCACAATTGGTTATTACTGCTTGAGCTGCTAGAGGTACAGTGGTTTTGAATGCTGTTAGAGGTATGAGGGCGGTTATCACTTCCCGGTTGCCCACACCGTGGAAAGGTTCTTCTAGAAATGTCTGAAAAGGAAATTGGATTAGAGGTGGTATTAGTGACCTGAGAGCGTGACCGCAGTGCTCAAGGGACAACTGCTCGAGGTCGGTCACACACGACCTATTTATGAGTAATTTTCCTGTTAGTTCCGTACTTGTTGAGACCTTACCACCGGAGACGGATATTTGTGGGATAAGGCGAAATGTGCATTTTAGGGTCGACTTTTTTAACCCCACCTCTAATTGTGAGAAGGCAGCATCGCTGTCATGCTGGTTGTCTGAAGGAAACACCTTACTGCTATCACCTCTGTACAGTCAGCAGTACGACTTCGCCTTCGGACCTTAGGTTTTCTGCTTTTGGTCTTACCGCTCTTCAACCGACCTGTCTGAAATGGTAGGACCTTGAGAAACGGTTGTTCCATCCAGTATAGCTCTGTTGTTTCATCACGATAGGCAAGCCCGACGACCACGTCAAGGTAGCAACAACGGTCGGGACTCCTTGAGCTAAAACTGTTTGATTTCAAACTCTTCATACTGTTTCTAGCATCATATCATTGTTTTTCATCGATTTAATTAAGAATTGAGAACTAAAATTACTATCGAAATCATCCAATATTAATTATTGTTAAAAAAACATTCAATATTCATTTCTTTACTATTCAATTATGATTGAGTAAGTTTTTCAGAGTGGAAGTTTTGTTTGATTATCAAACGTTTCATTGAGAGTCTACAAGAACAATCGATCATAACAACACGGCTGCATATTTCGAAATTCTATATTTTGTAATCGAATCACCATAAACAATCGCATTTTTCATTTCTGACGATTTATTTTTTACTGTTCAAATCTAAAATGATGATGTGTAGGAGGTACTAGAATGTTTTGCTGATGAATAATGAATGAAATTTCTTCTCATATCAGTTACGAATACTCACAATGTGTCAGTCAGTTAGTCAGTAACAACGTAGAACTTCGTACGTACGTACATCAGTTCGAGTTGCCATACCACATTAGCACACAGATACAATTGTCAATTCAAATCCCGTAGTGGTAGAGGTGGTAAGAGTATAAGCAGTAATCGGAAAGATTAAGGTTTGAAGATGTTATTCAAGGAGTATAATCCAGTGAAATAAATTTGGAAAAAGAAAAAAACAAGGGACATGAAGAATTCAGAAGATTAGAATTTGGGAGAACAGAAAGAGTGGATGCACCTGCGCCATTGCAAACGATTTTGAGCCATGTCATTCAGAGTCTCTAACCATCGGTTGCTATCATCTCGCGGTCCCCAACCAGGTAGTCTACACCTACCAACATGGCTCAGTTCATTTGTCAATGACTTCATGGACTTGTGCCATGTATTGGTCTGGCCGCCTCCAGCTTACTTCCAAGATACCCCTACACCATATAACGTCGGTCATTCGGTGGTCGGGCATACGTAACACGTGTCCCTGCCACCTCAACTGAAGTAACTAATAGTTATCATCAACTTATTGTTTTGTTCTCATTAACTAATAAAATTGGTTACTTTTTGTTTGACATAGATTTACAAAAACAATTAGAACAAGGTAATCTTGATCCGAACGAATTAACACGTGCTCGTCAAGCTCAAGCAAAAGATTTTCCTAAAGGTATTCCTGAATGTGGAACTGACGCTCTACGATTTGCTTTATGCGCTTATACAGCTCAAGGACGAAATATCAATTTGGATATAATGCGTGTACAAGGCTATCGATTTTTCTGTAATAAACTATGGAATGCTGTTCGGTATGTATATCCCATTATGAATAAGGATTTGAATTGTCTAGTTGTTGATATTCATAACCAGATGTTCTTATAAGCGTTGGTTGATATATGTGTGTATTCTGTGCAGATTTCTTCAGTTCAACCATTCCTTTTTCATACTCTTTTTAAATCGATGATTTGTGGTTAGCAGTAAAATCCATCGTATCCGCCTTCCCCAGCTGGATGTATGTGTCTTCCAATGTTTTTGTATCTATGTTTCACTGCTAGCCACAATTCATCTATCCTAAAGAATATTTTATTTTCTAAATAAACAGTTGGATACAGATGGGGAAACGTTCAAGTTTACTTTTGGTTAGTGTTATAGGTGAAAAGCTTGAAAGCTAATTCTTGTTAAGAGCATTCAACAATCCATCAAAGGTGTCTTCAGAATCTGGAAAAAGTTCTCAAACTATTTTGTCCAATCAACGTTCGTTAGAAATCCTCATGACGAGTTTAGGAATCAATGGATTGAGTGATTGTTGATATTATTACCAGTTTGAGCATGTTTTCTAAAATTAGTTCTTGATTACAATACTATAAGTGCCCTTGTTTTCCGCATATAAACTAACGATAGAACTAAAGTTCTTTCTATACTTCCTGAGTATTGTTTTTCTTATCAGAAGGCTTTTGTGGATATTGTAGTAATTTCAATAGTTGAGTTCATGAGTCAATTGAAGCTAGACCACCATGAAAAACCTGGAATCATTGGACGGCCGTTTCGTCCTATTGTGGGACTCCTCAGCAGTGCTTATTGATTAATCTACTATTCTATTTCTTTTGATTTCATTATATCGCATTCGTCTTGATTTTTTATTCATAGTGGTTTGCCCTGATATAAATTTATCCGGCAGTGATTGTATACGCGTGGACATATGAGATCATTTCGAGACAAAGAACAAAATCTCCACACCATCGACCGTACCAGAGCATTGGAGGCGGGAACTCTTTTTTGACTCCTTATTCTTAAAACCTAACCTTCTGCGTTATAGTTGATATCAGTTGGTAATGAAAATCTTTTAGGATTATAACTCTTAACACCCACAACAAGACCCCAATTCCTAATATATAAACTTCACCGTTTGTTTTCTTTGAGATTTGGAAAACTCTGGTTCCAAACCCAAGGTGCAAATGGGATCCTGAGTGAACAAATGGTGTATGAACCTATTGTTGGTCACCGGCTAACATAGGACTGTGTCTCCTGACGTTGCTCCATTGTTTTGTGGATCCAGACCTTTAAGTCGAAGGCTCCGAGTGTGATCCCCTAACAAAACCACCTGCTTTGGTTTGGGCACCTGGGCAGTATCTTAACCATCGCACTAATCTAGTGACGAAGTGTGGCACCTATGTATTCGGTGCCCCTTTGTATTTGTATACTAATACGGTGTATTTGTATCGAAACTATTATCCTACCGTAATTTTCTTTTGTCTCTATTCATATTTAATTCTTTTCTTTTCTTTCTTTTGATTTAATTTCAAGTTATGCGCTATTTCATTGTTTACATAAAGAATTTGTTCCACCAGATATGTCTGATTTAAATAGTCTATTCAAACAATTCATACAACATAGTTTATTATCTGGTACAGATAAATGGATTCTATCAAGATTAGCTTATGCTGTCATTCAATGTAATACAGGATTTACAGAATTTCAATTTCCTATAGCTACTACTGCTTGTTATCATTTTTGGTTATATGAATTATGTGATGTTTATTTGGTAAGTTTGTTTGTTTGTTTCTTTTTCCTCTCTCTCCTCTTGTTTGTTCAAAGTTTTGATTTAATCAAATTAAACTGAAGTGTAATTTTCATGTAAATGATTACTATTAGGGTTATAATGCATTTACAATACTATAATACAAATATTGTTATATGCGTAACCCTACGAATGCCCTGGTATGGCCGAGAGTGGGGTGGGCCCGCACTCCCTCTCGAAATGCTCTCACACGCCACGCGTATGCAGCTTATGCCAGCAAAATCCTACTCACTGTTTTCTCGTGGCGGAGGTGTTGTTTACGAAAATGAGAGGACGAAAAGAGAATGTCCGGCGCTTTAACCGGATTCAAAACCAATGGTGCACATGGGCTCCAGTATCCTGCGGGAACAAATGGCGTATGAACCAATCGTTGGTCACCGGCTATCATGGGCATGCATCTCCTTACGATGCTCCACTGCCTTGTGGGTCAGACCCTAAGGTCGAAGGCTCGGGGTGTGGTCCCCTAAGAAAACCACCTGCTCCGGTCTGGACACCCGGGCAGTATCACAGCCCTCACACATATCAAGTGAGATCTGTGTGGCGCATATGTATTTGGTGCCGCCTTGTACCAGTGTTTATGTGTTTAAATAAATAATAAATAGAAAAGAACTACTTATTAACATAAATGACTAGGACATGTGTTTCCCATGGTCAACTACCGTTCACTTCGATGTGTAATATTGTGTTGGAAGAAAGCTACGCATGACCAAATCAATATGCAGTATATATATATATATATATATATATATATATATATATATATATATCTTCTGTTGACTAATCACGTTACAATATAGAAACCAAATGTTGAATACGAGTTGCGTTTAAGACAGAGGTTTATTTTAGACACTCATTTAAACAGGCAAAGTGGAAGAGATAGTATGGAAATTGGGTAGATACAGATAGGCGTAGCTGTTATAAAAACCTACCCAGTAAATTATGGGCGACTTAGTCTTTATATAAAGTGAATAATATATAAATAATAGATAATCATCAATTAGAGTATACATGGACAGATTTATGTAAGGCGAGCACAACTACAAAAATGTTCAAAGTTAATAGCATATAAACTTACACATTGATGTGATCCAATGTTGAAGTTTATCCTTTGAAACATTCACAAATGATCTAACTCAGCATCCGAAGATCAGGAAAAAGTCACACAATAGTTTGTATCAATCTACCGTTATTATCATTTGTTTTTTATCCGTATGGGGTTATGGAGATTGTTGGGTTTTTGATTAAGATCATGAGTCGATCAATATTAGACATTACTATTGAAAACGTGGAAGCACTGGATGACTGTTTCGTTCTAGTATGACACTCCTCAGCATTGTGCATTCCAAATCCCATATATGGGATTCGAACTCAGGATCTTTGATCTTACGCGCGAACTTTTAACCTCTAGACCACTGATCTATCATTTTCAATGTTGTTCATGTTTAACTTCAACCAATCTATGAAATTGCACAATCATTTATTATCTAAGGTAGATACCTGTCTCTATCTGATTTTCCATTAACCTGGTTTGTTAGTTTTGTTTTAGTTTCAACATTTTGATAACATAAAAGTAATATTCGTGGATTGGTTGAAGTTAGACATTAACACCGTTGGATGCCGGCTCAGTGGTCTAGTTGATTAAGCGCCTGGCGCGAGACTGATAAGTCCTGGGTCCGAATTTCGTGGGATGTGGGATCGTGGATGCGCACTGTTGAGGAGAATTATACTAGGACGAAACGGCCGTCCAGTGCTTCCAGGTTTTCCATGGTGGTCTAGCTTCAATTAACTCATGATTTCAATCAGTGTAATTTCTAAAATCTCCACAAAACCCCTTCTGATAACATTCCTATTAATCAAATATATTTGTTATTCACCTTTTCCCATTTTCCACTTTTTTGTATATACTCCATTTATAGGAATATACCAAACCTATTATTAGATTAAAACAGAATAATTCAAAATTGTCTAATATGGAAATGGAACGTATTCAATTAGTTTGTCAAATCCTTTATGTTTGTTTCAATTGTGGTCTACGTTTATTACATCCATTTATGCCATTTATTACAGAAGAATTATATCAACGTTTATTAACTAGAAATAGTCCTAATAATAATAATACTGTAAATAGTATGGATAGTCTATGCGTGAAATCCTATCCTAAACTCAGTGATGTATGTCTACTTAATTATTTATTATTCATGTATTTATGTATGTTTATGATTAATTTTCATTTTACATTTACATAACCAGTCTATGTATAGTATACTACAATATGCCCCGTAAATGCCCTGGTACGGTCGACAGTGGGGAGAGTCCGCTCTCCCTCTCGAAATGCTCTCACATGGCCACGCATATATAGCCTCTGCCAGGGATGTCCTACTTATTGCCTTCTCGCGGCAATCCGCACAGGATACACATACGTTAACATGAGACTGATCAATTGTCCGGCGCTTTAATCGGGTTGATGGACACGGAGAGTTCATCTAGGGGAGTTGGAAAACCCTCATTCCAAACCAATGGTGCACATGGGCTCCAGCACCCTGAGGGAACAAATGGCGTATGAACCAATCGTTGGTCACCGGCTACCATGGGACTGCATCTCTTTATGATGCTCCACTCCCTTGTGGATCATACCTTCAGGTCGAAAGCTCTGTGTGAAGTCCCCTAAGAAAACCACCTGCTTCGGTTTGGGCCCCCGGGTAGTATCACAGCCCTCATACATATCGAATGAGATCTGTGTGGCGCATATGTATTTGGTGTCTCCGTGTACCAATATCCATGTGTTAAAATAAATAATATAGTACAGTATAACCGTTAATCAATCATTACTATTGTCTAAAATGTACATATAATCATTACACTTATTCATTAATTTTGAATATATAGTTGATTTGTTTGAAATAGTCATTAGGAAACTGTACACCTTAGTTACTCACTAGTTGGTACTTGATAATTCAGTCAGTGTATACCTGCAATCTTAGATGAACTGATGAATCTAAACTTGGACCACTTAGATTCACGTTCTAAGAAGTTACCACTTACTTATTCAAGCTGTAACTTGATCTTCCGTAAGACTGAGTTATTCACAGTTGGTTCGTCATTGAATGGTGCATACCATTGTCTTATTTACTTAATTGTTTTTAGTGCTACTGATTGAATTCTGTGAATCAAGTTGTTATAAGCTTGCTAGTCTGGGTGACTCGACATGGATACACAATGTTTAGATGTTACGTGGTTGGAGGTAATTAATTGAAAACTCTGAACTTAAACTTCGTTCTAGTTGACATTCGTCAGCAATAAGAATTACCTATAATCTTTCAGGTCCTAACCAGGAAGTTGTGATTAACCGACAGATTTCTTTCATACTTCAGCACCATATTATAAACTAATCACGTCTCCACTTTTTCCAGACAATAGTTTGATTTTTAGGTTTTGTTTGGGGGGACTTTTGAAAGACTCTAATTGGCTTAAAGTAGTATTCTATGTTCTCTCTAATAGTATCACTTATATTGCTGCTGCTACTACTAATCCTGTTTAGGCAGTCATATAATCCTAATATATCATATATGTGTATTAGGTTACGTTAGGTGTCAGGAAACTTCTTTTCACTTAATTAAGAGGTTCATCAGTTGGATATACTTGAATCAAATCACTGCTATCAACACCGTATATTCATTACCTGACAAACAAGGAATAGGCATATCCATATGTATTTAATATGTGAGATGACTCTCTTACATAAAACTGATTTCACTATGAATTCATCGCTTTTTATATTACATAATAATATACTTTAGTTCTAGTCTATATCATAAATCAGATCGAAAAATTGAATTCAGTGTATCATATGATCATGTATGGTGATTAATCGACCTAATTAGTATCTATGGGGTAGGTTTCTAAACGCAAAACTGCCAATCTTTTTTCTTCTCTCATAACTCACTAAATCAGCGATTTAGTTTTAGAGATTTCTATAAATGATTGATTATAATTTGTGACATGGCTCAGAATCAATCACATTGATGTAGGTGTATACACTCTCTGTCTTCTTTTAAACTATGAAATTAAATTCGCTTCATATCTTTCTTTCGACGAACTAATTCTTTCTTCCAGTACTATATCCTTATATATAATCTTTCTTTCCTGACCGTAGCTGCTACCTTGACGTGGTGGTCGGGCTTGCCTATCGTGATGACCTAACCGAGCTATATTGGCTGGAACATATGTTCCTGTAGGTGTAGACTACTTGGTTGGGATCCGCGAGACGATATCAGCCTATGGTTAAAGACCTTGAATGATATGACTCAAAATCGTTTGCAGTGGCGCAGGTGCATCTACTCTTTGTGTTTTAATCTTCTGAATTCTTCATGTTCCTTTATTCCTCTTTCCAAATTTATTTCACTGTATTATACTCCTTGAATGACATCTTCGAACCCTAATTTTTTCGATTACTGCTTATACTTTTACTATCTCTACCACTACGAGATTTGAATCAGCAATTGTATCTGTGTGATAATGTGGTATAGCAACTCGAATTGATGTACGTACGTACGTACGAAGTTCTACGTTGTTACTGACTGGCAATCTTTCTTTTATATATTACTACCATCGAACTAACTACCTATATGAATCCGCAGTTCATTTTGTTGTGCTAATGTAGTATGGCAACTTGGACCGATGCATATATGTGCCTGATCTTACGTTGTAGCTGACTGACTGACTGGCTGTAAAATTATTTGATAGAGTTAAAGAGTGAAAGATTTTTTGATTGTATTATATTGTTTGTTTTTGTTTCTTTGTTATCATTGTTGATATTCTTATTATCAGGTAAATATATTACATGATGTAAATGGAGTTGAAACAGATTTCCATCTTGTACTGAATATTATTCATCGTATACGTGGACTTATTTCAGCTTGTCATATACCAATTTCACTTGCAAATCGTCAACCTTTAAATGTTCAATTAATTGCATCTGAAACTATATTATCTACTCTTATTAATGGACAATATGTAACTGATGTAATTGAACCATTAGGTCGATGTCGTGTTATACAAATGGTTTCTGATCGTAAAAATGGTAAGTGTTGTGATTATTTATTTATTTATTTTACTGCCTGGATACCCAAACCTAAGCAGGTGGTTTTCTTAAGGGGCTAAAACTCTAGCCTCTGACCTAGGGATCTAATTTATAAGAAAGTGGAGCAATGTTAGGAGATACACTTCCATGGTAGTCGTTGACCAACAATGGGTTCATACGCCATTCGTTCACTCAGGATCCTGGAACCCATGTGGACTAATGGTTTGGAATCAGGCCTTTCCAACTCCTCTAGGTAAACCCTCTGTTCACCATCCCACTTAAAGCGTCGGAAATTCACTTTTCGTCCTCACAATTTCGTAACCAACACCCACTTTGAGAGAAGGCAGTGAGTAGGACTTCTCTGGTAGTGGCTGTATACACGTGGCCATGTAAGAACATTTCGAGAGGGAGAGATGAACCTCCCTACTCTTGGCCGTACTAGGGCATTTGGGTGTATGTCAGTTTTGATTGTTCAGTATTTATTTTTTTGTTTTCCGACTTGGTGTTTGATTACAATTATAACTTCCATATTTTTTTCTTAGTTAACACTTCTGGTTGTGTTAGTGGAACAGTTTCAGCAAGTGATATTTTATGGTCCAACGAAGAGTCACCTGTTAATACAGTTCCCGAAGACAATGATGATGATGATGCTAATAACGTAAATGGTGGAAATCTATGTTCCGATGTTCAATCAAATTCTGTGTTTGTTAACAAAAATACATCATCAATAATTCCAGCAACTTGTCAAATATTTCTACATGTCGCTGGATTAATTGATGTATCATTAGGACAGAAACGATGTCAAGATCGTTTAGTGGAATTGAAAGATTCCATTGAAAGTTTAGAGAAAAAACGTCAGCATCCAACGTATTCTGAGAAAGTACCAATGAAAACTCAATTGATGGATACGAAAAAAGTGATTTCGCTTTTTAAGTTATTAGTGATTTTTTATGAAAATTGTATTAATTTTCTGCATAACTCTTTGATTTACATTGAATGTTTATTTTTTATTTGTTTATTTGAACACACAAATACTGGTACAAGGGGGCATCGGATACATATGCGCCACACAGATCTCATTTAATATGTGTGAGGGCTATGATACTGCCCAAACCGAAACAGGTGGTTTTCTTAGGGGGCCACACCCCGAGCCTTCGACCTGAAGGTTTAATCCACAAGGCAGTGGAGCAACGTAAGGGGATGCAGTCCCATGATTGCCGGTGACCAATAATTGGTTCATACACCATTTGTTCCCTCAGGGTACTGGAGCACATGTGCACCATTGGTTTGGAATGAGGTTTTTTCAACTCCCCTGTGTGGATTCTCCATGTCCACCAACCCGGTTAGAGCGCCGAATATTCGCTTTTCCTCCTCACAATTTCTTAAACAACACCCCCGCCATGAGAAGGTATTGAGTAAGACTTCCCTGACAGAGGCTATATACGCGTGACCATGTGAGAGCATTTGGAGAGGGAGAGCTGACTCCTCATTCTCGGCCGTACCAGGGCATTTGGGGGCACATTGAATGTAACATGACATAGATCTGTCTTACTTGTACACTGATAACTAGAATAAATCGTCTTCAGAATACCAGACTATATAATTGATATCTGTGTGATAGTTGCAAACAAGAGTGAAAGTGGTTAGGTGATGTGACTAAAAGTTTTTTTACAATCATTCATAGTCAACGTGTAGGATTTTGCACAAACTATGTATTGGTCCAAGTTACAACATCATATCAGTATAGACAGGCAAAATTAACAAGAATAATGACAAAGTAAAAGCTCCTAAATAACTAGGTTCGGTCGATGGTGGGAATATTACACTTTCCTTTAAATGCTCTCACACGGTCACGTGTATATAGCCACTGTCAGGGAAATCCTACTCACTGCCTTCTCGTGGCGAGGGTATTTTTTACGGAATTGACAGGAAGAAAAGTGAATATCTGGCGCTTTAACCAAATTAGTGGATACAGAGAATTCACCTAGAAGAGTTGGAACTATGGTTGCATAGTATAAGTAGTATTATCTAAAGTTATCAATGGATCACTATGTAGCATTCTAGCTTTGGTTAATTGCACTGCTAAAAGATCATAAACCAGAACCGAATAGCTCTTCATTTTTGTTTATAATTGTTCATTAGGTGGTGGTATCCACTCAGTCAGTCAGTCAGTCAGTAACAACGTAGAACTTCGTACGTACGTACATCAGTTCGAGTTGCCACACCACATTAACACAGAGATGCAGTTGTCGATTCAAATCCCGTAGTGGTAGAGGTAATAAAAGTATAAGCAGTAATCGGGAATATTAGGGTTTGGAGATGTTATTTAAAGAGTATAATCCAGTGAAATAAATTTGGAAAGTGGAAAAAAAGGGGACATGAAGAATCCACTTGTCATTGTTTATTAGTATAAAGCTTTGGAATTTGTTAATCAATCACTAGAAAGTCATAAACTCTTAGATTTCATCCTAAATGAGGTCATGGATGCCTATTCTTGTTGAGAAATCATATACTAAGACACAACAAACTTTCAGTGTTTCTTCTTTATTTTATTTTATTTGAACTCACAAATATTGGTACAAAGGGACCCCATATATATATATATATATATATATATATATATATATGCGCTACACAAAACAATGAGAATGGGAAGAGAAAAATGGAGGTAAGGTGCGTATGAGAAAAAAAAGAGAGAACAATAACGACCACAGATTAGTGTATGGTAGTGAAATAACAATAATAATGGGGGGAACGTAAATGTACAACCAGAAGTTAAGGAAGATACAACCACTTTTTATGGAGAAAATAAAAGAAGGTTACAGCAGGATTGCCACTGGCTTCTTTTCTGAGCCATATCTGATAACGTCTCTAGCCACTGTGTTGCATCATCTCTAGGACCCCAACCAGGGAGTTGTAGAGGAACAATAGGAGCCGGTCCTGTACAGCTTTCTTTCATACCACGACACCATGTCATACACTGATCACCTCCGCTTTTTCCAACCAGTCCCAGCGTTGGTAGTGTTTGTTTTTTTAATTTTAAATAATTGTTTAATTGAACTCACTCTTTAGTTTGAAACGACAATTCGTCATACTTATAGGCTTATTATAACTAATTATTTAATCGAAACTAGTTCATTTTCACATAGAATTATAATTTAAAATGAATTCTTGAAATTTCTATTTGTATTGGTTTATGAAATTTGAATTTCGAGGCTACTATCCTCTGGGTAGATCAGTAAGTATTATGATGGAGTTTTGTTGTCTGAGATGGATGGTTTGATCATGGAGCTTTCATCATTCTTCTGAACGACATCATCAACACTTTACGTCTACCTGAAGCTCCACGACCAAACCAACCAGCTCAGAGAACAAAATTCCATGAAAATCATCTATATGAGCTATAAATCTCCACCGTCAGTAAGTATTTTATGTTGTGACGGCCGGTGCCCAAAATCTGATACTGATACATGGTATACTATGCGCTACCCCCCCCCACTGATTACTTGAACAAGAACACAAGATTGAGCGAGGAAGCGTATTGGACTACCGAATAAAATGCACAAATAACCATTCGTATATATAGACCACTCTAATCTTCAGGAAATTGATCCATTTCCTAGCCAATGAAATGCACTTGGCCTTTAGGTCACTTCTGATTACCACCGATTGACCTTTTCATTAGGCTACTTCTGATTAGCCCTCCATATCATTGTACCTTTGTACACTATAGATCCTACCGTGTATTATAAGTATTTTGGACCGTTAACAATCAACTATCAACTACTAGCTTGTAAACTGGAATTGCTATGTCTCTAAATTCATTTCTATGTTTAACTACCTTGTTGAAGTTAGACATTAACACCGTTGGATGCGGGCTCGTGTCTAGTGGTTAAGTGCTCACGCGCGAAACCAGTAGGTCCTGGGTTCGAATCTCGCAAAGGGCGAGGTCGTGGACGCGCACTGCTGAGGAGTCCTACAATAGGACGAAACGGCCGTTCAGTGCTTCCAGGCTTTCCATGGTGGTCTAGTTTCAATTGACTCATGATTTTAATCTGTGAAATTTCTAAAATCTCCACAAAATCCCATCTCATATTAACTACCTTTTATTAACTCAATCTGACGTAATTATATCATAGGAAAAGTATAACTTACATTTCTTTAATGTCTCTTGGAGATAGAGTTCTGTGTGTCTTGTGATTTGTTTCCGATTTATTTATTATCTTATTCTATAGTTATATGAATTAAATATAGAATTAGAAGGATTAAATGAAGTTATGAACAATTTGAAAGATATTAAACAAATCGATCCAAATGATTCTTCAATGACACTTGGTGAAATCCTTTTAGACGCTTTATGTCATTATCTTAATGTACAAGAAAATTCATCAATAATACCATCGAATCTATTTGATCTTGAAGCAAAAATTGACAGTATTCTAACCAATGAATTAAAAGGAGGCGACCAGGTAATGTGTTTTCTTATTGTGTTTTTTTTCCACAATTCAATGTATGCTTATTGATTGTTTGTAATGTTTCTTTTGCCTTGAAATCTTAACACATACCGCCTATATTTAGATAGTCGGTAATATTTTACCAGGATTTCATTAGCTGGCATCTTCTTACTGCGTTTACTTACGTCTATTACTACTTGTAGAGAGTATAGGATGTTGACCATCAATCTACAACCAATTCTGTTCTTGGTTCTCCTTTCCAGTCGTTTCCAAATCCTATTTATTGTTTTGATGTCTGCCTCCAATTCTCAGTGCAATGTGTTCGTTGGTTTTCCTCTATTCCTTTTGCTATGACGATACTGAATTATGACTTGTCTCGTGTTGCAGTTCGATGATTTCCGCAATGAATATCTTTTCTTGATTTCCTCTTCAACTGTTAGCTGGTTTGTTCCCTGTGACGGTAGGCTGTTGCTGACGGTATCCGGTCAACGAATCTGAAGTATCTTGTATGGATAGTCGTTTATAAATACCTATACCTTTTTGATGATGGTTGTGGTAGTTCTCCAAATTTCAGCTCCATACAATGGAAAACTATTTAGAATTGTCTTGACATTTATATTGAAAATTTTGACTTTGCCGTTGGCTGACAGATAGTTGTTATAATCTCAAAATGTTCTAGAATTGTAGAAATTTTGTCCTTGCTTTGGCAATCCATACGTTCTCATCTGCATCAGATCCTCACTGTTTATCAATGATACGTAAAAGTGTACACCTCTCCCAGAGCTTCTCTATCAAATGTGATTTGGTCGTTGTTCAGTGTGTTGTATTTTAGAATCTTACTCTACCTTGTGAACGTTGAGGCATATTGCTGTACAGGCTGCTGTCAACTAGTTCTTTAAAACCGTAGCCTAATGGTCAAAGATATTCAGTTTTGCAACGAATACGTCACAGATTCATGCATTTTATTGGGACAGCATTATCAGTAGTATCTTTTACACGAAAAAAAATTTGTGCCTCATAACCAAGTACATCACTTTATACTTGTGATTGGAAGTGAGTGAAGTAGAAATGAATATCATAATTCTTTTGCCAGTAAGGTAAACATTTTCCCAATCCAGTTTAGGATGTATCCTGCGACATTATCGAAACAATCTTATTGTAGACAATCCTATTTTGTTATTAAACCCAATCAGCATAAACCGTTGAATCAGTTTTTCATCGTAATTTTATGTTGTTTTAAAAATGTGTATATGAACAATGGTATTTATTCTATATAAATAATTAGATTCAATCATAGATCAGGCGTTTGTCTTCTGATATTTCGTCATTGAGATGTAAGGAATATGGATACAACTGAAAATGACATTGGAAAGAGGAGGTTATTTATATCTTTCTTGCTCCTGTTACTCCTCGTTCAGGAGCATAGACCGCCTACCAGCACTCTCTATCCAACAATGTCCTGGGCATCCTTCCCAGCTCTTTCCAGTTGGTGCTATTGATCCTTCTCATTTCTGCTTCCAATTCTCGACGTAGTGTGTTCTTTGGTCTTCCTCTCTTCCGCTTCCCTTCAGGATTCCAAGTTGGGGCTTGCCTCATGATGCAGTTTAGTTATTTCCGTAATGTATATTCTATCCACTTCCAACATCTTTTCCTAATTTCCCCTTCAAATGGAAGCTGGTTTGTTCTCTCCCACAGCAGGCTGTTACTGATGGTATCCGGCCAATGGATATTGAGTATCTTGTGTTAACAACTAATACTTGTACCTTCTTGATGATTGTTGTAGTTCTCGAAGTTTCAACTGCGTACAGTAGAACTGTCTGTACGTTTGCATTGAAGATTATGACTTTGATATTAATTAAAAAACAATTTTGAGTTCCATATGTTCTTTATTCATTTATTTGTAAAATCCCAATGAGTAGAAAATTAGATTTTCGGACGTTTCGTGACTTAGTGTAAGTCACTTCTTCAGAGAATAAATAACCAAATTAAAATTAATCCAAGTTTAAATAATACAACTGAAGAGGTGACTTACACTAAGTCACGAAACGTCAGAAAATCTAATTTTCTACTCATTGGGATATTACAAATATATTATTTATTTATAACAATCTACCCAATGCTCAATTTATTCGAAATTATAAAGTTAAACATTGGTAATGATACATACTACCTTTAGATAGTTTAACAAACATTTCGGTATTGCACAAGGAAACCCCCAAGTATTTTAATGAATAAAAATGTTAACAGTTTTCTATGTCTTCTCTAGCTTGTGTGATCACTTTTTTTTACAGTTAGTAGCTAGTTGATAAACTTTCGTCATATCAGAACTAGGATTTAGGACCCCAGAATCGAGAATTAGATTAACACTAGATAATAATTTATTCAATACAATTACAAACAGTCAATCTCAGTGATTCCAAAGTAGAAATGATCAATGACAGGAAAAGAAATCACACATTTAGTAGTCTGTAGTTATTTGTCCACGCTCAACGACCGATCGTATTATACTCCTGTAGTCAACGACAACACAAATGCGGATAATCGAATGTATTGGAATACTAAGCTATAGAACATTTTATTGAAATCTGAGAACCATACAGTAAATACTTCATTTGCAAAATGTCAATCAACCGTCTCAGATTTCATTGTCTCTTCGTTTCCACATCAGTCATTCTCTATTCTCGTTCTCTTTTCTTCAATCTTCTGCCACCAGACATTTCACTTTCGGTTAATGATACATACTACTTATATCTATCGACATCAGTAACGCACACCAAACTCCATTGATCATATCAAATCAAGAGATATCTGTCCGTTCATCTTTAGTATAATAGTGTACCTCTGCGTTTCTGTGGTGTAATATCATGTATCTTGTTCCTTATAAAAAAGGAAACCAAATATTAGCCATCAGTGTATGTCCCGACCGTTGTTGCTACATTGGCGTGGCGGTCGGGCTCGCCTATTGTGATGAACCAGTCGAACTATGCTGGCTAGAACAACCGTTCCTCAAGGTCCTACCATGTCAGACATGTCGGTTGAAGAGCGGTAGTACTAAAAGCAACAAACCCAAGGTCCGAAGGCGAAGTCGTACTGCTGACTGTACAGAGATGTAGCAGCAGTAAGGTGTTTCCTTCAGACAACCAGCATGACAGCGATGCTGCCTTCCCACAAGAAGGGGTGGGGTTAGAAAAGGTCGACCCTAAAATGCACACCTTGCCTTATCCCACAAATATCCGTCTCCGGTGGTAAGGTCTCAACAAGTACGGAGCTAACACAAAAGTTACTCATAAAAAGGCCGTGTGTGACCGACCTCAAGGAGTTGTCCCTTGGGCACTGTGGTCACGCTCTCAGGTCACTAAGACCACCTCTATTCCAATTTCCTTTTCAGGTACCTCCAAAAGACTGACTGACATCAGTGTGTGTGTGTGCAAGTGCATGTGTGTATGTAATCAATTATCTTTATTGACCTAAGTTATTAATGTATACATTCTATTCAATTTATCATGTATTTGATATACTGTATATTGTTCTTTCTTTCTTTTTTTGTTTAATATATCACATATACATATATGTAGCTGTTACAATATTGTAAAATTAAACAATGGTTGTCATGGAGTATAAAACTATTATCATTCAATCATGAAATTGATTCAAAACAATATTCAATTTATAGAGAAATGGTTGAAAATTATTTAACTTATTATAAATCATACTATTTAACTGGTACAAATTATCCAACAATTGCTGATATCTCTGTTGCATATACATTAACACAATATATAGATTATAATGAATGGATTAATTTAAATAATAAACAATATGTTGTTATATGGTTTGACAAGTTGAGAAATTATTTCAATCAATCAAATAAAGTGAGTTGTTTCTTTATTTATTTTATTTCAATACATAAATATTGGTAAGATAAAGGGGGCGGGACACCGAATACAGATGCGCTACACAAGTCACTTGATTTGTGTGTAGGCTATGGTTACTGACTGATTACATCTCAGTCCTACAGAAGGTCAGTCGCAGCCCGGATAGCTCAGTGGTCACGTCTCTGACTGTGAAGCTGGGTGACACGGGATCGAGTCCGCCAGGGAGCACCAGTTGCCTCAAGATTACAGGTACACCTTGCTGATGAGTGCCAAGTAGCACGAAACCTGGGACCATGGTTTCCTGTTGACTACCTCCAACCAACATCTAATCTCAATATATAGTGCACGCAGTGTCGAGTCACCTAGACTGGTGGCCACATTGTAACATGGTCGATAGCATTCGATCTGTACTAATAAGGACTAGACACGCATGAGATTGATCACCACCCAGTGATTGGTTCATACGCCATTTGTTCATTCAAGATCCTGAAACGAATGTGCACGATTGGTTTGAAATCAGTGTTTTTCAACTGCTCCTAGATAGATCCTCCATATCCACCAATCCAGTTAAAGCACCGGATATTCGCTTTTCGTCCTCTCATTTTCGTAAGCAACACTCGCGTCTCGAGAGGGCAGTAAGTAGGACTTTCCCGACGGTGGCTTTATATGCGTGGCCGTGTGAGATCTGACTTCATACCCTCGGTCGTACCAGGGTATTTGGAGGTAGTCAATTATAGTTATTCTTGCTTTTTGTACTTTTTAAATTTTTCTTAAAGATTATTTAAACACTAATCTTAGGTGAAGAACTATTGAAAGTTCAGGAGTTCTACTAGACAAATGCCTTTATTTAGCTTGTTGCTTTACAACTCTATATGGGACAATATTCAAAGAACAATTAATAATACGCTGTCGTAAAAATCCACTTAGAGATCCTGTGTATGTTTCGGTAGTCAGTCAGTTGTAAGCAACATAAAACACGGAATATATATGCATCAGTTGAATTCGTCGCAAGACAAAACCCCAAGTAATAGTAATCAATATCAATGTTAGTAGAAAACATCAACCATAGACAATATAATCTAATAAAAATCAATAGGTCAACGCCGATTCTGAATTATGTTATCCAATGTCTCCGACCACTGTTTAGGAAAATCATGCGAAGTCCAATCAGGTAGTCTGCACCTAATAACTTGGCTCAGATTAAAAGTGAATGACTTGGTGAACTTAAGTCAAGTTCTAGTCTAGTTACATTCACTCCGACACTAACCAGCATCGCGCATCAAGATAAGCGATATTTGTGTATACACAATCCATGCACTAATCGCCTCAGTCGATGAAGTTTCACTATTTCATCAAATGATTTGCCATCTTCAATTAACATTCTGGGTCTAACCCCAGTATTGCTCACTCGGTGTTCATAACATATGCGAGCTAGTTAAATGTTTTGCATTTATTATCCCAAATAATTTTCTCATTCTACATGTGTCAAGACCATTAGTCCGAGTAAGTAGTTTCGGCGAATATTTATTATTATTTCTTAAAACCCTACACACATAGGTCGAATATCCCAGCAAGTATCTATGTAACGAAGCTTTCGGTATCCATGTCCGATTTTGTATCAGAAAACAGTTTATGCTAAGTAATTCATGAAAAGTGTTCAAAAATCTCCTCATTTTGTTCTATATATCATAGTATTTTGACGTCTCTGAATTCATGACCATTATTCATCCCGATCACTTTTGGAAAGGAGAACCTGGGAAAAGTCAGCTTTCCCTGTATGTATCGATTACTGAAATTATACGCAAGGCTGGCTACACTGAACTGTGGATGCCAAACTAATCAACATCAGTTCGTCTTAAAATCAGTCATACGTAATGTCGAACCTGGCACATGTGCTCATCAGTTTGAACAGCCAAATTCCATTACAGTAAGATGAAAATGTCAGGATAAATCCCTTAGTATGGGAAGTAGCAGTAGTAATGGTAATAGGAGAGGATTAGGTATCGAAGATACGATTCAAGAAAATAATTAGTGAGATAAGAAAAAAAATTGAGGGATTTTGAAACTTAGAATTTGAGGGAAGACAAAGAATAGATGCACCTTTACACCATTGAGAACGACTTTGCGCCATGTCATAATCTTGTGAACTTGAGCCAAGTACTCTACACTTCTGAACATGTCTCGGTCCAATTGTCAATGTATTCATAATAGACTGATGCCATATTTTGCTTTGACCACTCCTAACTTTTTTTCCCCAATATACCCCCCCCCATATTAACCATCGTCTTAATACAACTACTTTCATCTTTGTTTTTCTTATTTTAGATGAGATCACTTTTCAAATGAAATAGTGAAGTGTTGTTGTGCTACTCATTCTAACTAACTAACTTTAAGTACCGAACAAAATGTAACATTGTAGTCATAAATAATTTGTTTATCAATACAAGAAAAGAAAAAAAGAAGAAGAATTGAACATTTCATTTTTTTGTAAACATAAACTTTCTCTTCTTTGGTTGAGCTAATAATTGTGGTTCAATTTCAAATTCATAAGTTAATTGAATTGTTGTATCAATTTGTTCACCATCTGGTGGTTCATATTCTTCAGTCGAGTCAATAAATTCCCCGTGTAATTTTGGTGCAGTCATATATGGACCTATTAATGTTAAATAATTCATTTCATTTTCTTTTGTTACTAATCCTAAATTATCATCATTTGATAATTCTGATGATTGAATTAATTCAGGACAAGGTTGAATAGCTGCTTTGTATAAATTGGGAGATGTTTTGTATAACCATTTTAAAGCATTCTGTTGAGCAGTAATAGCTGAATTATACATGATCATTTCATTGTGTGCTACATTTCTTTGATAACGTGTCCAATTCTTCCAAATACCTATTCGTTCATCTAATTCCGTTTCACTAATATCTATTGATGGACGTTGACGTAATCTGAAGGAATTACAAAAGAGAAGAAAACAACAGTGATGACTACGATAACATAGATGTATATGCAACGGAAAATCTTTACACTAAGTTACAAGTTTAAAAATATTTTGGATTTTCTACATACATGTTGAATCTAAACGTTGCTATGATTAGCTTAATACAATAAGTATATGTACCTTAGCTTTGAGCTACATTGTTCATGAGTGTATGTAGACTAGTAATATTGTTTAGTTGATCAAACTGAACTATGTGGAACAAGATTCAAAAATGCGATGACTTTAACTACTAACTTATTGGCGATTGTCACCTTGAAGTCTTTAAATAATCACATATAGTATTCAGAATATTAACTAACCACTATCTGAAAGGGGTTTTACGGATATTATAGTAATTTAATAGTTAAATTCATGAGTCAACTAAATCAAGACCACCATGGAAAACCTGAAAGCACTGGAACTCCTCAACAGTGCGCGTCCACGATCCTGTCAACGGGACTCGATTTCAGGATATATTGGTCCATTGCTTTCAGGTTTTCCATGGTGGTCTTGCTTTAATTGATTCATCAATTAAACTATTAAGTGACCACTATTTATCTCAATGTTGTCTGGTGTACAAGTACTTTGGAAGAAAGCTAAGAGCGACCAAGCCAAGGTATAACGTCAGTCTATGAAACCATTAACTTTTCTAGGTATTATTACCAAGGTTCAACTTTATAATTTAGAATAAATTGAGCATTGGGTAGATTGTTACAAATAAATAATTTATTCTCTAAAGAACTGGCTTATACTGAGTCACGAAATGTTAGAAAATCTAGTTTTTCTACCCATTAGAGTATTACAAAAATATGTTATCATTCATTTGACCTCACTATGTCAAAATAAAGAACCAACTCGATTCACACTTCGTGTATCTGGAAGCCCTAATGCTGCTTCTTGTGGCCTCGCTGGCGTAGGTATAACATTGAGTCCTAGGGCAGAACTAGCTCTCTTAGACTGGATTCCAGTAGACAGTCGTTTGTGCGCTGTCGGACTAAACGGGACAGTAAGGAAAGATAGGGACACTTGTCGTGTCTGCCTATTCTCCCACTGACTGCAGCTCAGATGATGTAAAAGACGAGTTTTACAGAAAGCTTTCCGACCTCCGAAAAGCTAGGCGCTCTGATGTAGTGATAGTGGCTGGTGACTTGAATGCTCAAGTAGGTAAACTAAGCGAAAGGGAAAGACAACTGGGTAGATCTTATAGTGTCGTGGCTCAAAGAACAGATAATGGAGACCGTCTGTTGCAGCTATGCTCAGATAACCGCCTGCTTCTTGCAAATACTAACTTTAAGCATAAGGAAAAACATCTTTCAACATGGCGACCCCCGAATTTGTCCCAACGTTGGACCCAAATAGATCACATCGCTATCAGCCACCGATGGAGGGGTTCGATAGAAGACTGTCGCTCATTCTGGAGCACATGCTCAGATTCAGATCATGCTCTAGTACGAGCGCATGCCCGTCTGCGTCTTACCGGACGTGGGTAAGACGCTGCAAGGAAACCTCTTAGGGCCCTACTTAATGATAGTCAAGCTAAGAGTATATTTCAGGAACTAGGAAAACAGTTAGACAGCCATGTATGTGATGCCCTCCCCGAGGCAACATGGAATGATATCCGAAAAGCTGTGGAAACAGCAGTGATATCTTCTAGTAAGGTAACCCGTGGGTTTAGGGAGAAACACTGGATCTCAGCAGCATCTACCTCACTGATAGATGCGCGAAAACGCATTCCATCTGGCTCTGAACATAACGGAGAGCGGAGTCAGCTTAGGCGCAAGCTGACAAGAAGCCTACGCAATGATCGCGAACAGTGGTGGATAGCGAAAGCAAGAGATGGAAAAGGTAGCGGCAATAGGTAATAGCGGACAACTGTTCAGACTTGTTAAGGAAACCGGTATTAGGAACCCGATTTCTAGCGAAACTGTCTCAGAAAAAGATGGACATATTCTACATTCTAAATCCAGAAAATTGGATCGATGGACAGAACACTTCATGGATCAGTTCAACTGGCCTTCAGCCATACTTCGGTTTTTCACGACCTCCAGTCAACCTGAATGGCAAGTTAATGTAGGTCCTCCGACTCCTTACGAAGTTGAAAAAGCTATGGGAAATCTGAAGCGAGGGAGAGCAGCAGGCCCTGACAGGTTTACTCCTGAGGTTTTTAAGGATGGTGCTCCAGTATTAGCAGTGAGATTAACTGAGGTCTTAGGTAGAATTTGGGAACTGGACGTAATCCCATCTGACTGGTCTCAATCACTGATTGTGCCAGTCTGTAAGAAAGGACAAAAGTCCTCTTGTGACAATCACAGAGGAATCAGTTTGACTAATATAGTATCTAAAATATTAGCCTCAATAATACTTCGACGCCTAATCAAAGCTCGTGAGGAGCAGATTAGAGAAAACCAGGCCGGTTTTCGACCTGGACGTGGTTGTATAGATCAGATATTCACACTACGTCAGGTTCTAGAACACAGACACCCCACAATGGTAGTATTTCTCGACATTAAGGCGGCATTCGACTCTGTTGATCGTGAGGTTCCATGGCAGGGTTTGTCACTGAAAGGAGTACCAAAGAAGTACATTAACCTTATAAAGGCTCTCTACTCGAACACAACTGGTAGAGTAAGAGCTTATGGCGAACTGTCATCCGAATTGATTACCTCAAGTGGTGTTCGTCAGGGCTGTTCACTCTCTCCATTCTTGTTTAACTTTTTCGTTGACGTGCTTTTAGAGATAACACTTTCCTCATCTAAATTTACAGGGGTTGAACTTCTACCGGGAGATTTACTTGTTGACTTAGAATATGCCGATGAGATAGTTCTATTGGGTGAAGACGCTGACAAAATGCAGAGTCTTCTGACCACTCTAAGCAACAATGCAAGTATGTTCGGGATGCGATTCTCCCCCTCGAAATGCAAAATGTTGCTTCAGGATCGGGTTGCATCGACACCCGAACTAATGATAAGGAGTGAAGTAGTTGAGCGTGTTGACTGCTTCACTTATCTTGGAAGTCTCATCAGCCCTTGTGGTCTAGTTTGTGACGAAATCTCAGCACGGATACAGAAGGCTCGACTAGCTTTTACCAACTTGCGTCATTTATGGCGTAAGCGAGATATCCGTCTATCAACCAAAGGACGGGTTTACTGCATAGCAGTTCGTCCCGTCCTACTTTATGGCAGTGAAACATGGCCGGTAAGAGTAGAGGATATTCGTAGGTTACTAGTATTTGATCATAGGTGTCTTTGAAACATTGTTCGTATATCCTGGGACCATCGAGTTAGTGGAAATGGGTACTAGGTAAGGATAGCAAATCAATTGATGAAGTAGTGAAACCTCATCAGTTGAGATGGCTGGGATACGTGTTACGTATGCTCAAACACCAACGTGCGATGTTCAATGGTATAGGAGTAGGTTGGAAGAAAGCTAGGGACGGCCAGACCAAAACATGGCACGAATCCATGAAGTCACTGACAAGTGGACTGAGTCATGTTGGTAGGTGTAGACTACCTGGTTGGCGACCGCGAGATGATAGCAACCGATGGTTAGAGACTCTGAATGATATGGCTCAAAATCGTTTGCAATGGAGCAGATGCATCCACTCTTTGTGTTCTCCCAAATTCTAATCTTCTGAATTCTTCGTGTCCCTTTTTTGTTTCTTTCCAAGTTTATTTCACTAGATTATACTCCTTGAATAACATCTTCAAACCCTAATGTTTCCGATTACTGCTTATACTCCTACCACTATGGGATTTGGATCTGGGATAACACATATCAGTGCCAGGCTCTGAGTTGATCATAACTGTCCATCTGTTTACTTGAATGAACCTAGTTTGATATTCATAGGCTTGTTGGTCTGGAATATCGTTGTTCAAATTTTTTACACACGATATTCTGTGAGTAGTCGTTTGGGTTGGATGAACTCTGTACATTTTAAACTTAACCAATGACAGTGGGAGTTTTCGGGGTTATGTTAATTTTAAAGATAACCTTGTTAGAACCTTCCTTTCGTTTATGGTAAGACTGGAGATTTGTGCGAAACATTAATACAGCTACATCCTAGTGAAACTAACAGTACGATCCCGTTACTAGACCTTGGCTTTACTGCTCTTGTTCTTACTACTCTTCCAACTGACCTGCCTAGGATTATAAAACTTTATGGAGCAAATATCCTAGGTCAATTGGGTTGTCTTAATATGTAAGAGACAACTTCAGTGTAAGCCAGTCAGTACATTTTCCACATTAAGTAGATGAGTACGTTTTACAATTTGACTAATAATTTTTTAAGCACTAGTAATAATATGATATTGATGTTGAACAACTCTTTCAATGTACTAAGGGAAACTGGAAATCTGAATTTCTAAAATAGCTTACTTTATTTCTTTCTTTAATTGACGATCTCCTTCAATTTCTTCAATTGGTCTTAATATTCGATCGAGACGATTAAGTCGTTTGATTTCTTTTTCAATTCTTCTAACTTTTCTAGTTACTTGAATTTGGCTATCAGCTAGGCCGACTCTTTTCTTCTTTTTTAAAGGTTCTGCCCTATACAATAATAATAGAGAAAAATTCAACTAGTTTTGAAATTGACATAACCTACATGGTAATTGATGATGTATGCAGTCCAGCAAAATGATTGATAGTTCTTGGTTGAATAAATAGACTTTGTACAAACAAGCTAATTATTGAGATTATCATACTACTGAAAGATTTACCCGTACCTTGTTAATCTCTTTAACATGTCTTTTTATATTTCTTAGTAATAAAATGCACTGGTGCACAGCTGATAATTATCTAAATAATATTAACGTTTAGTGAAACATTTTAAGCATATCGGATTTTCTAAAACTTTTTAAAACCAAATACAAGAAAAATATTGTAAACAGTGCGATCTCACGTAACAGTTGGACATTTCGGTGAATATGGACTAGTTGGTACGCCTGGTATTCAACTTATAAACTCATTCAGCTACAACGTAGGATCAGGCACATATGTGCATCGGTTCAAGTTGCTATACTGCATTAGCACAGCAATATCAACACACAATTCATAGAAGTTGTTAATTCAATGGTGGTAATATATAAAAGAAAGATTGCATATAAGGACACCGTACAGGAAGAAAGAAATAGAGCGATTTTAATCTCTTAGTTTACAAGAAGACAGGAAGTGTATACACCGACGCCATTGTGATCGATTCTCAGCCACGTAACAGTCTCCAACCATTGGTTACAAATAGTCGCGCGGACCCTAACTAAGTATTTTGCATCTACCAACATGGCTCAGATTAGAAGTCAGTGACTTCAAGCACTGATGCCACGTATTGGTCTGGCCGCTCCTAACTATCTTCCAACCATCCATAACACCAGTCAAAATTACCCGTCGTGGTAATCGGTGTTTACGCATAAGCAACACATGACTCAACCATCTCAGTCGATGAAAATTCACAACCTCATCAACTAACCTACCATCATTCCCTAATACCATGCGTCTAACCTCACTATTACTCACCCGATGATCCCAGCAGATGTCAGCAATATTTCTAAGGCATCTGCAGTCAAATACTAGTAGCCTATGAGTATCTTATATTCTTAATGGCCACATTTCGCAGCCGTGAAGCAAAACAGAACAAACTGTCACACAGTATACCCGTCCCCAAATTGAAAGATCGATATCTCGCCTCCGCTATAGATGACGTATGTTGGCAAAAGTCAAACGAGCTTTTCGCATCCGTGCACAAATTTCACCAAACACTAACCCATTTGGGCTGATCAGACTTCCAAAATAAGTGAAGTTGTCGACGCGTTCGGCTACTTCACTCCGTATCCTTAGTCGAGGTGTTGATGCAGTCCAATCCTGGAGCAATAACTTGCATTTCGAGGGGGAGAAGCGCATTCCAAACATCCTGGCATTGTTGCTCAGTGCTACCAAAAGACTGCATTTTATCAGCATCTTCGCCAAACAGGACTATATCATCTGCGTATTTTAAGTCGATAAGTGGACCTCCTTCAATGCTAGTAATTCAAAATTAACACACAATCATCTGGGAGGGATGCGGGTTTGTGTAATACTACCAGTCAATAACTATAATCAGCATAAAGTCGGGAACAAATGTTCCGCAGTCCAAGTTACCACACTGTATTAGCATGACCAGATGAAAATAAAACGTGATAAGAGCGAAAGTCGAAATAAAGTAGTAGGAATGATAATAAAAGACCGAATATTGTTTGGAAGAACGAAGTAGGAAGGTGTATGTGAAGGAATAGCGGGATTTAATTATATTGTAACCTGTTTGACTATATTTTGTGCCATTACTGTTGAACTGTAAAATCTTTTCGTTTGTTTTTCGTACCGTATTTCACTTTTTAAATACAACTGACTGATCACTACACAGTTAGCAACATTGTTCTCACGATTACAGGTACACCTTGTTAGTAAAACCGAAGCAGCACGAAACTCAGGTCTAGGGTTTCCCGTCGATTACCTTCAATTATTAACCTCTCAACAATCTGCACGCGATTTTGAGTCACCTGGATTAGTAGCTATATTGAAACTTGACCAATGGGATTCTATCAGCACTAATAAGGACTAGATATACATAATGTTAGTCACTATCCAGTGGTCAACCAGTTGTAAATATCTTAGTTTTATAGGGTGTCAGTCGTAGCCCGAATAGCTTAACGGTAACGCCTCAAACTGTGAAGCTGGGTGGAGGTTCAAATCCTGTAGAAAATACAAGTTTCCTTGAGATTACATGGACATCTTGCTGACTAATCTTGAATAGTGCGAGACCAAGGTCCAGGGTTTCCTGTCGACCACCCTCAACCACCTGATACATTTTACTGTTTGATAACAACCTTCGTTTTCTTTGCTCTTTGTATTCCTTCTTTACGGTGGTTTGCGTTGTATCCATGTCTGTAGGTCAAATAGGTTGAACACAACAAGTCGATAAGAGCCTTCATTCTCTCATTTCGGAAATATGCCCACGCCATGTAAATTAAACCCAAAAACAAAGTTTGGCAGTCTCCTGGTCACCTTAAGCAACAGTGGAAGTGTTTCGGATGGGATTCTCTCCCTCATAATGCAAAATATTGTCTTAGAACCAGTCTGCATCATGTCCAAGATTAGTGACAGAGTGAGCTGATTGAGTGCTTCGACTGCTTCACTTATATTGGGAGTCTCATCAATCCTGATGCCTGACCAAATCTCGGCATGGATTCAAAATACTCAGATGGTGTTTGTCAACCTATGCTAGTGTAGTCAACATAGTCAACTGAAAAACAAAGGACGAGTTCACTGTTTAACTGTACTCCATTTTATCTTATGCATGTAAAACAGCTTTTAAGAATAGAGGATATTCGTTGGCTACTAGTACTCGATCACAGGCGTCTCCGAAGCACCACTTGTGCATTTTGAGACCACCTAATTAGCAATGCTGAAGTTAGGTAAACGGTACCAGAATAAGATAGCAAGCCAGTTGACAAGGTGGTGAGTATTTGTTGACTGAAGTGGTTGGGATATGTATTACACATGCCTAACTGCTGAATACATCAGCAGGCAATGTTGATTGGTGTAAATATAGGTTGAGAGGAGGCCAGGAGTGAAAAAACCAAGATGTGGCTTTAGACCATGAAATCATTAACTACTAGACTAAGTTAAGGTTACTTAGTTGGGGCCCATGTGATTATTGAAACCAATGGCTAAAGACTTTGGGTGACATGGGTGAAAATCATTGGCAATGGCGCAGACGCATTCACCTTTTATCTTCCCTAAGTTCCTAAGCACTGAATGACCAAGTTTGTTAAAGATTAAAAATTGACTCAAAAATAAGAGACGAATAAAAATAGGATATTCTTGAAGTCAAATATTTAAAAGGCGCTAAAGAATAAATGCGTCTGCACTACTGTTACGAATTACAGGCCATTTTATCTCCGATCTACTACTGTTCACAACTATTATGCAGATTCCAACAAGGTACAGATTTTCGGTCATAGTTCTATTTGTATAATGATGATCATATATATCTTAGTACAACGTATATAACAAAATACAAGTATAAAACAACTAGAGAACAAACAAATTAGACGATGGGACAAACCTAAAGTAACAAAACAGTCTGTGCTAATTGTTCCAAACTTCACTCGAAAATGGATGATAATGTAGAACAATTATATTTCATTCCAACACGTCACACTAGACACAATCACTTTGCTGAGTTTTTAGTCTGTTTCAAAGTCAGAGTATCATGTGAAATAACAAATAATATATTCAACTACGCTGAACAGTTAGTTGAGAATATGATTGTTGGACAATTATAAATAAATAAATTGGATAGGCTATAAATAATCTCTAAAATATTGTGCACTCGTTTCTTAATGTCATGTAGCAGAGGATTTTAAATGATTATTTCTAAAATGAAAAGAGAATGCTGATTGATAATTAATACACATAATAAGGTGTGGCACCGTAATAGCTGCTGATGAGACTGAACTGTTGCATAAGCCCGAGAATGATTTGAAGTCAGAGTCAGTGACCAGTAGCCAGAATAGTATTTTACCTAGTGAAATTGCACGTTTCCAAACAAACTATCAGATAATAAGGCTGCTATCGCAAGTAGTCGTTACGTCACAAAACAACGGTTTGGCTTGTCGTACGTAACCGAAATAATTGAATAGTAAGAATATGGGGAAGAGAGGAATCACATTTTGAAATGCACTAAAACTTAGTTAAAAATGAGTTAGTATGCAGGTAAGAAACTGAGTAAACGAAGATGTGATAAGGCGTAAAAATCGAGAGAAAACTAACGAGCATTAATCCACGCTTTCTTGTCTTATGTTGTCACTTCTTCTATCAGCAGGTAATTCGTGGACAATTACAGTCTTCTAACATTCTCTATAGATAGTCTGCTAACAAGATTACAAATACACTGGTTGGAGAGGAGCATTCCACGTGTAACAGATACGTAATGTGAGTACGTACCCAATCTCCTAATTTTTGGAAAAATTTGACTCATTTTTTGGGAAATTTTGAAGAAATGGCACCAAAACCCCATGATTCCCCTAAATTTTGGGTTTTTCCCCAACTTTAGTGAAGGTCATTTGACTTTGGAGATTTCCCCGAAATTGGGAGCTCAGGTAAGATATTACACAGGTCCTTCCTTGTTGACAAACAACCCAGAGATAATTTCTTCATGGATCATTACGATCAGGCATTAATGCTTGATTATAACTAACATGTTGTGTGTGCACACACGAATATAACGAGATATTTGGTGCTGAATTACAAATCCATCCTACACTACTTAACTTCAAATAGACTTTTTTATAGAAGGTAATAAAAATGAGGGTTATATACATATGTATCCCCTAAGGGATACATAACAATTCTATTTCATTTCACTGTAAACATTTTGTACAGAACGCTTGTAGTTAGATCCCAACCATAAAAAAAACGAACTTTTTCTGTGACGGTAGCTGGTTTGCTTATTTCGAGACGAATTGTGACCTATGACATGATAGACCTGACTGATAACTTACCTCCTAAGTAATCCACATTCAGTAGTGTTTTATTTAACCCTACCGCTTCCAATGATAAATAGGTTTGAACGGTAGTGCATGGATTAGTACAAGCTTTCCCTCAATGGTCTTTCGTATAGAGTAGTGGTGGATCACCGACGCCTCCAGGTATGGACTTAGGCATGTTAGACGCTGTACAATGCCCGAATCAATGGTTACTGAGCAACAACCTGAGGAGTTCGCGTTTCAGGCTGAGATCGCCCAGCTTATGAGCCTGATTATCAACACTTTCTACTCCAACAAAGAGATATTTCTTCGTGAGCTTATATCTAATGCTAGTGACGCTCTGGACAAGTTGAGGTATAAGAGTTCGACTGATCCATCAGTTTTTGATTCCGGAGAAGATATGTATGTCAAGTTGATACCCAACAAGGAGGCTGGAACTTTGTCTGTTCTGGATACTGGTATTAACATGACAAAAGAAGATTTGGTTAAGAATTTGGGTACGATCGCTTCCTCTGGCAAGAAGGCATTTAAGGAGGCTCTGGCTGATGGTGCAGTATGTCGATGATTGGTCAATTTGGTGTATGTTTCTATTCTGCCTACCTTATATCCGACCGGGTTCAAGTAGTGACGAAAAATAATGATGACGACCAGTACATTTGGGAGTCGTCCGCTGGTGGAACTTTCACAATCGCACCAGATGACAGTGAGTTGCCAAAACGAGGCACTAAGGTGATATTGCATCTCAAAGAAGATCAACTAAATTTTCTTGAAGAGAGAAAAATTCGAGATATGGTGAAGAAACATTCTAATTTTATTGACTATCCCATCAAGCTGGTTGTTAATAAAGAGCGAACCAAGGAAGTGTCTGATGATTAGGCTGAAAAGGCCGAGTCGAAAGAAGCTGACGAGTCTGACGACAAACCGAAAGTCGAAGATCTAGATGAAGACGAGGAAGAGGAGAATAAAGAAAAGAAAAAGAAGGTTGTGGAGAAGTTTACTGAAGAAGAGCAGCTGAACAAGCTTAAACCGCTCTGGACGCGTAATCCCGAAGATATAAATACAGAAGAGTATGCCGAGTTTTACAAGTCGCCTACTAATGACTGGGAGGACTATCTTGCGGTGAAGCACTCCTCTGTTCAAGGACAGCTAGAGTTCTGAGCGTTGCTGTTTGTGCCTAAACGTGCACCTATAGACATGTTTGAAGGATCGCGTAAGAAGCGAAACAATATCAAATTGTATGTGCGAAGAGTGCTGATCGTGGATACGTGTGATGATATGATTCCTGAGTACTTGAATTTCGTCCGCGGCGTTGTGGATAGTGAAGACCTGCCTCTTAACATCAGTCGTGAGGTGTTGCAGCAGAACAACGTATTGAAGGTTATTCGTAAGAGCCTGGTCAGGAGATGTATTGAGCTATTTGAGGAGATAGCGGAGGATAAAGATAACTACAAGAAGTTTTACGAGCAATACTCGAAAAGTATAAGAAAGAAATATCAGCAAGTTATTGTGAAATACCCCTTTGAGTCCTTACGATTATGTCAAATTTCCTCATGAAGAACTCCTAGGGAAGTCGCCTGAATCACCTCAACTGGGAGTTAATTCCAGGATCTGACTACTCGTACGGAACAGAAGGTGTGCTTGCTGTCTATTCTGCTATGTTGCGCCCCAAATTTCTGAGTATTGCTCCTAAGGTTTGTTTTAGGACTGAGCTTTCGCCAACAGGCATAGTAGCTGTTACAACAGCCAGCTCGTATTGTTGGCTACAGCACAGTAAGTGATTAAAAACAGTATGCGCAATAATATCTTGACAGTTAGTAAAGGCGCTCCTAACAACTCAGAGACAACATGGCCTACGAAAACCACAAAACCATCACCAATGAAATAGCTCCAAAATGACGAACCTGCTATCCGAAACAACAAAATTCCCTACTTATTCAAACATCTAACCCACTAGGGATATGTCTGTAGGATTTTCGGCATAGACCTGTATTAGAACATGTCTTATTAGTCACCCCCAGCTGTCTTTGTACATTTTGTGTTATCGTGGTGTTTATTATCGTTGTTATAGATAAGCAGTGTAGTCAATCTACGCGTCAAAAGTTTCGTTTTTGAGGCGCATTAACTCATTTAAATCTTTCCTGAAGAATCTTACTCCACCAAATTGTAGAATGACGATGCAGTCAGAGATGAATATAAACTTGAACTCAGTGTTTTTACATAAGTTTTTAATTTAGGAGACTCCTAAAATGCTAAGGTTGAACACTGTCGCTTTCTGAAGCGAAATTTTTCAAAAATATACTGACTAAAACAACTTCTGTCCTTGTCTGATCTTCAGATTACCGGCGAAATTTGACGGATGAGTAGGAGTTTTAGATGAATACATTTATGTTTATATTGTTTATGACACTCGCCCGTGGCGGTAATCAGCAATATGATATTTATGACTTCTGAAAAACATTAGTTGAAGATAGAATAATAGATTTGGTATGAAAAAGAATAAGTTGCACAGTTACCACGCAAGGATGGCTGAGCCATGCGACTGCAACTTTGTTCCGGCGTTCACCGCGTTTGACCTTCTATAAGCGTTACATGTCGAATGTAAATCTTCCCAGTAAACATATATTTAGCTTCAAAGATCATGTGGGTAGGAAACATACCACTACATCTTTGACATTTCTTGAAGTTTCACACCTGCGAACTCGGCACAGTTTTGCCGGGCTTGTCACCATGCAAATCGAGATATGTCCTCTTTCCTACTTCTGTTCATCAAAATCTGCTCAACCTTCCAATAAACTATCATCTGACACTGAAACATTAAAGACGATAGAAGAATTTTGTTTGGAGTCCTTTCATTCATGCTTTTGAAGCGGTAGCTTTCTCAGGGCTTTTATTTCCACTAACAGTCACCCATTTCTCTGTTCCACTACCAGTGATGGAGACCTTTGTATCTGTCGGTTATTGATTCATTGTTCCACCTCATTACTTTCAGCCAGATTCAGTTAACGGTTCATCCTTCAGGACCAGCTGGCGCGTATTAGGGGATTCTTGGCTGAGAAGAGGTACGAATCTTGTTCTATTCCAAACAAAAATTGAAGAACTAAAAGAACTGGTTAGTGTTAGTGGGAATGAAGCAACACCTAGTGTAATCGCTTGTAGTATTTGCATAATCATTGTAAATCTCAAGGCCTCCTTTTGTAAGACTGCAAGAGATGTCGTTGCTATCGTTTCTGGTGAATAGTTCCACAATTTAGTGATTTTACTCACAAGAGACCCATTTAAACTTTTTGCGAGCTGATTTGTGTTCGGTCGTCAGTGAATGTCCTCCTAGGTGTGATTTATCAGTTATTTATGAAAGTGAGGAGGATTATGATCAATAAAGTATATCATGATGACAACCCTAGTCAACTACTTTCGTACTACAGAGATCGCAAATTTACGGCGTCCAGAGGAGCAATGTAGATATCTTTGAACACGTTCCACATGGCATTACTCCTTTTGAATTAAGGGAATATACTTCGAGCGTAAACAGAATAGCTTTACGTAATTCAGAGGCCTGGCTACCTACTATTATGCAAACAAATTTGAAGACACAATATGCTTTTTGACCACAGAATGTTTGTAAGAAGAAATATATAGATTACAACAAAGTGTAGTCTGCAGTCCTTTTCAGTCGTACAGTGTGATACCGAAATCCGGATGTAATTTCACCATTGTTCACCATCCATATTCTGCATTCTCTAGTGTTAAGTGGTACAGGGCTTCTGCTGGTCGAGTCATATCTTTTATCCAAGTCTTGTCGAGGAGACAAGCTAGCATTTTGTTTTATTATCTCCTTCAAGATCTTAAGGTCATTCGAGCATAACAGGGCTTTATGGTCTAGAACACTAGATAAGTTGTTGATAAACGACAAGAAGACAAGGGATCCTATGATTGAGTCTTGTGGCACTCCACCTATCATTTAGAAACTGTCAGACAGTGTGGAGCGAACTGTGATGGTTTGTAATCTTCTCGACGTGCAGTAATAGTAATCTATTTCCAAGTGAAAGGAGCTAGACAAGGCGTGGCAAGTCATTTTATTGAACACCCACCGGCACATTTATCGTGTGTTTTAGTCAGTGAATTCTACGAATAACAATAATTGTTGTCTTTGAATGATTTAGAATGCTTATGTGACGAGGATTTTTATGCTACAATTATAGGATTCAGGAATTCCTGACAGTCACTGAATCTATGTTACGTACATGAAAGAATACCGTGCTGTAAGTCAGAAATCACAAAAACATAAAGTCAGTAATTAGAAAGTGTCTATGCAAGCACTGTTTCTGAAATTGAGTGGGTCACTTGAGACAGTGATGGGCGCAGCTTCGCCAGCTGATGTGTCGTTCACAAAGACATGCTTTTGAAGGTTACTGAACAACTCGAGGGATCAAAAGATTTGCTCAACAGTTAATTAGACCTACTCAGTTTGGAGGACGCCAATGTCCTGATACAAAGTGGAGCCTTCTACTGTTTTTCATGGATCTTGGTCCATACAGATACAGATGACGTAAAATTATGGAGAGGCATCTTTAAGGAAACCTTACGGTACTAATGAAGTGGCCACAAAACAGTTTACAGCTCACACCTCAGAAGCTTTATATAATGCTCCATCTCATCCCAAAAACATGGGTATCTCCTTTTCAACGGTGTAATGTGGCGTGAACATATTTTTTAAAAAGCCAGTTACAACTATGGAGGAGGCAAGCCGAAGTATAATTTACACTTCACTTCGCTCAAAAAAAGCTCGAGTGTTCTTGTGGTTCAGCTTCCCTTCATTCATTGTCACCAATAAATTATAGGCAACGAGAAGACCGGCTTCAAGAATGGGCTCCTTCCCTTGCGCAATTAAGAAAATGCATATGGAACGTCGAGGTCTAATATTAACGACCGTTTTCCTTATGTCATGAATACCGTTTCTTTGGCCACCTGTAGGGACACTTTGCTGCTGGAAGTGTGTCGCCGTCGTGATAATTCTAGTGGGAGTATGCTGGTTTATGCCCCTGTGTCAACTAAACGTTTGGACCAGAATTGTAATCCCTGATATGGAATAGACAGCTTACTGTTTGGCCAGAAACAGTCGTCACTATCACTATCTAGGCGGCTCGTTTCCTTGATTTTCATTATTGTATGTTGTGAACGTGCACTGTCTTATGCATTATCATGCTTTTACACCGTATTTTCGATTGTGCCAACAAACTCCTGGCATTTCTTTGAAACGCTATTTCGAAAACGAATTTTTTAATACCGATCTAGCTCGCCTGGCGTGGACAGTAGACACGGTTGCTTTTAATGCTGCCTGCTTATTTATCAGATAAATGTCGTTGAAATGTAGCCATGCCACTAGTATCCAGTCTGACATCAGCTTATACAATGTTTTTGGTATGACCACCGGGTTACATCTCCATAAATTTATCTGCCATATCTGCCAGGTCTCTCAGTGTAATTGGTTTAACTGATGTGCTGAGAATCCGCCTTACATTATGAGGTAGACGTTGTGGACACTTTTGTTTCAATAAAACTTTACCTAATGTTTATGGACCGGCTAATTACATTATATGACTCAAGAGTTGTGGAGGTTTCTTATCCTTTAAATAATACACTGTTAATATTTGCTGTGTGACTACTGACTTCAATTTACCTTATGGATCATGCGCCGGCACTTGTTTGGTTAAATCATGGACTTCTGCAGAGATGTAGATAAGAGGAGAACATACAACATGTGTGTATTTCGTTGTATGTGACCGAATTCCTCGAGCTATAAACAACGCTTATTTTTGGGCAAACCATATCCTTGCGTTGATTATCCCATGTGCACGAAGTCTGAATTATGGGGTGGCATTAACTGTGGTTAATTCGGAATAAAAATTGAGGTTATTCAGTGGAAGCTTTTCAGAGGAGACCCTCGATGTCACTAATATCACCAGGAGCTTACAGATATGGTAAAATAAAGTGTGACGAACAAAATAAACGTTAGGCTCACCAGATAATTGTGGTGGACCAAAAATATCAATCTCAAGAGTAATGACAAAGTCATCACGAGGGAAAATTACTGTGATAATTTACCAAATATAAACTATACACACAAGAAAAATATTATGGACGTCACTTAACTTGTTGGAAGTAGGGGTCTTTGAGTGTTTTTGTTCGGAACCCACAATTATATTCACTATAGTCTGAGATGTATATCCAGATAAAGCATGTAATGAGGACATCACTGTGATCTGTAAACATAGACAGGAAATATATTAGAGTCCTGAAATTTTAACAGTGTGTAATCGAGAACAAGAAGCATATGTGTGCAGCACTGTATTTGTAAGCGGTAATCAATGTGTCATGTAATGAGGTATTGGAAAACGAAACAGAAGAACAAAGGTAACGTTTTTTCAAACAAAAAAACTATAATCGATACCGTCAGTTGTACAAAATTTGAGAATTAATGAAGGAATTTCAAATAATTGCAAAAACGTAATACAAAATAAGTTTATTCTTAATATCCCCCCACATCCATTCTACCGCATTCTAATTTTACAACTTTTATAATAAAGTTGAACAGTTAACTTCTACTAGTGTGATAGATGATGACTTCAAAAATCTTACCGCCCTGGGATAAAATCGTTTATTTATACTAATACAGCGAATATCCAAACAACTGACGAATTCATTAGAACTAATGCAGTCGAGTAACTAGACCAACATCAGTATATGCCACCAAAAACTTGTAACCATACCTCAACATAAAGACACGTGCGCAAAGAAATTACTTGATAGACATTAACTCATCATAAAGATGTCAAATATTGGAATTCGAATTGTTTGAGTTACTACTTCTCGTTACCACCTTAAGTTGGCGCTGGGCGGATTTTCGGATTCTGCTTATTGACATATGGGTGATTCTCTGTTTCACAATTCGTCTGCAGCTCCAGATGACGAATATGATTACTTGATTAAGCTTCTAGCCCTTGGTGAGTGTGTGGAACTAGTCTAACATTGTAATGCTACCCTGCCATGTTAATAATAGTAAATATCATATGTGAAATAAAACTTATACTATTAAATTTTATGTCCAACTAGATTCTTACTGAAAATTTCATAATGATATTTAAGTATAGAAAACGATGACTAAGTAGCCTCTTTGATTTAAAAATTGGTTGGTAATATATTAACTAAGTTCATTTACGGTTGTCAAAATTTTCCTATGACCAGCCAATAACGCAAATAATGCTATCAGCATTAAAACTGACACAATCGTACAAATGAGCTACTGATTCGTGTGGCTCGTTTCGTGGGTCCACTTTTGACATCTTAGGGTCACGTAGTTCCCTTATTTTTGAGTGAAACTTAATTGTACTTGGTTCAACGTCAAACCTGTCGTGTTGCATTAATATTTTGGTGAAATATAGTATCCCTATTACTTAGCTATCCAAATTATACCAATCCGTCGTGGTAGTTCAGGGAAATTTCAGGTTCCGGCTTAAATTACATACAAGTTTGTTCTGGAAACACCTAAGATTTTTGTCTACGAAATAAATTCTTTTATTCTCAGTTCCTTTCATTACATAACTACAATCAACAACTCCTATCATTGTTTTGTGAATTTCGTGTTGGTGATTTTACTAAGGAGTAGACTAGTACCATTCCATATTTATACTTTCTAAATGATCACTTAGGTTGTGAAACTTTATGTAAATGCTATTTCTACCAGTCCTGTTTGGGTTACGTGGTGGTATAATTTAAACGGACTTCAAGCGGCGCGATTTATTACCACGCAACAAAGCAGTTTGTTTTGACTGTTAAAGGGTGAGTTATGAATCACATAAAGCATGAAGTTACTAGGCTTTTGTCTGCTGTTCATGTTTCTACAACCTGTTGAATAATAATTCCATAACTCTTTAAAACCTTAAGTGTCTGACAGTAGCGTATATAGCGCAGTAATTGCCTGGAACCCAAACATGCTATAAGTTCGGTTGATTAAGACCATACTGGTCTTATGAATATTGTACCGGGTCAAGGATAGTTCTTACTACTACCAACACTATAGTTAGGCTTGTAGTTAGAATTGGCTAGTGTTTCTGATTGGCAGGCTATTGGTATTTCTTAAGATCAGCAGATAGGTTATGGTGTAATACGTTTTTCCGAAGAGATTGGTTCACAACCGGTATATTTTAAGTATAGTATCTCCGTGTACATTACATAACTAACTGGCTAATAATTGACAACTTCTGAGGCCCCGTATGCGCTTGTCGTACCTAACTTTTGGATTTTTCAAAAATGGAGCTATTGTTTGTCTCCGTACATGTGGGGGATTTGTGGGCAATTATGGTATCGTACGTCTACCATATCCCACCACCTAGTACTCAGTGTTTCATCTTTGTAATATTTGACTGGTCATAATTCGTGGTTTTGATTATGAAAAGTCATGGAAGTCTTGTAAAATTGTTAGGTAAAACAGAAAAACATTTCTTAAGTCATAAATAGCTATTTTGATGAAACTTGGCCATCCTAACTTGATTTATGTAATCGTTACTAGTAGTTTTGTAATATTAAAACTATATTACTGAATATTTCCCAGTCTTTTCCAGGATAACAAACGAGTATGACAAAGCTGTTCCCTGCTTTTGAAGCGGAATGTCACCCAAACGTTTTTGACTAATAGATAGGGTTTCCAGTTTTGATTGTTTCTACTTTTTACCTCCACACATCTTCCAGCGTAATCGAAAAGCCCCACTCTTTCTACCGTAGGATCAGGGTATTTAGATCAACAGTGGGCATTGTCCATTTAGTCTTTTATTAACCGAAAGACTATTGGTTTTCAGGTCAATTTAAAATATCATCCCAAAAATACAAAGGAAATAATTTAAACACCTGAATATTTGCGCTTCCTAACAGGGCTCGTATAGATGGTCAGTGAATTTAAACTGATTACATGTTGGTTTCACTCTTCTCTAGATTTCTCCAATCTAACCATGTGCTGACATTGATTGTATTTCTCTTGTCAGGTCACGTGACACAGTCTCAGTTCGATTGCGAAATCTTGAATTAAACACTTCAAAGGGTAGTTTAAATTGTTTTCGAAACCCTCTAGTTGGTTAGATTTTAGTAATGAACTGTAGAACTAAATGTTGTAGGTCTTTGTAAGCCAAAGCTTGACAAACGAACACGTTTTGACAAAATTTCCGCGACTATTCCTGAAGATTGTACCAGATTGAACTTAGTGTTCAGACGAATCTTTGTCAAAGTATATGACCTAGTCCAAAGTTCAAGATTCGAAATAAAACAGTTATTATCTCTGTTAGCATTAGACTACGAAATCCTAAACGTCATCTTTATCTATGAGTAACAAATCGATAATATGTTTTATAGTATTGAGTTAATTCGTAAGTACTGGTTTTTTTGTCTAAAGCTTATCATATATATATATATATATATATTATATATATATATATATATATATCAGTTTACCGTGTGGAGTGATAACTTATTAATTATTAGACTCGACTTCCAATCATAAGGTTGAAGGTTTGAACCTCGCGTCAACCTGCTTCGGTTTGGATATCAAGGCAGTTGTATAAGCCCTTATAACATGACTTCAAGTTAAGTACATAAACGTGTTCTCGGTATGTCAGTAATAAATATCATAACTTATTGGATGTGTTCTTTACTTTGTTCAAAACAGGAGATAGCAATGTTGGGAAGACAAGCTTATTATATCAGTATACCGATAATATTTTCAACCCACGATTTACAACAACTGTTGGTGTAGATTTTCGTCAAAAACGATTAGTTCGAGAAAGTCGTGATTCTGAAGGTCTTTTAGGACCTAAACAACGCTTGCATTTACAGTTATGGGATACTGCTGGACAAGAACGGTAAGCGTTTTAGATTTGACTACACATGAAGGCTCTCTATACTATACCATGGATCAATGAGTCTACCTTCTATGTGAATTTATTTCTTTTAACACATAAATATTGGCACAAAGGGGCACCAAATACATATGTGCCACACAATAACAATGAAAATGTGAAGTGATAGAGAACGTAAGGCTCGTATAAGAAAAAAGGGAACAATCACGAACATAAATTAGTGTATGATAGTGAAATAATAATAATTGGAGAAGCAGCCCAGTTAGCAAAGCTACAACCAGAAAGAATTCTTCCGGTTAAAGAAGTTACTTCCATTTTTTATGAAAAAAGTTACAGCAGGGTCGCCACTGACTTCTATTCTGAGCCATGTCTGATAACGTCTATATCTATTGTGTTACACCATTTCTAGGGCCCCAACCAGGGAGTTGTGGAGGAGCAATGGGAGTCGATCCTGTACAGCTTTCTTTCACACCACGATACCATTTCATACACTGATTACTTCTTTTAACCAGTCCCAGCGTCTGCAAATGAGGCACGACAATCTCGAGTCACTGATTGGTCGAAAGTTGAATACTACGACCGAATACGAATACTAAAACATTCTTTCTATGTGAATAATTTAAAATATACGTATGTGATTTGCTTGTTGGCTATGGTACTTCGTGTCGGATTTTTCAAAATACTTCATTATTTCGTACTAATCCAGTTATGTACTTCGAGGAAAGAAAACAAATTTGAATTTGGTCGTAGTTGGAACCAAAAATGAAGTATTTTGCAGCTTATAAAACTATTGGGAATGGTGTTACGTTTATTATTGAGAACGATCCTGATGGTTCTGTTCTTTGAGCCTAGATGGTTTGATCGTGGAGCTTTCATTGTTCTCCTGCACAACATCAGCATAAACTTCAGGTAGAAGTGAAGCATTAGGAATTCTCTAAATGACAAACAGCTTGTCTCGTCGACCTCAATCGGTTATTGTTGACCTTTAACTTGTCTGCATCTTTGTTCTGTTTGTATCTCCATTTGATATGATTCTTAATCCTATATTTGCCCATGATTTTTCCGATTTATTGACAAATCAGATTAATTTCGACATAGACCACATGAAAAAAATTACCTTCGGGAAATGATATTGTCGAAAAGAAATTTTCTCATCACTGAAACGTCTTCATTCGATTTCAGTGTTTTTTTACTAATGATTGATCCTAGTGCCAAGCTTCTAAAAACCTATGGTCGTTTTAGTATTTCCTCTATCCAGGATTTCAACATTTTTTCAGTCGAATGTGTGTCCACAATTGTCCACATGCATGGATATGAGGAAGATACATCATGGGGTTTAGTCGCTAGTTGATTTTCATGTGGGAAAAGATGAAGTGTTTCTCTCAATTGTTCAGAAAAACAGTAGAAGCTCCGCAACCAAGTCATTCATCTCACGGAGCGAAATCTCACCAAAATCGCTCACTGGAGCTGTAAATCTTCACATATGAGCACTATGCACTACAGAGCGGTGGATTAGGGGCTTAGATATTTGATTTCTCGTACAACTGTTCTTTCATTCGAACCTTGTTTCACTTACCCATTTTGAGTATCTGGATTGTATTACTTACCCTCACACAACAAGTGTGACTTAGAGCCGTGTATGCATGTTTATTTCATTGCTGAGTTTCATTTACTCAGCCAAATATGCTCATTTAAGAACAGTAAATTACTGTACATTTTAGACACGAAATTCGTTAAGTAACTTTATTACGATTCTAAGAAAAGGTAACCTGTTAGATACTTTATACGGTATAACACTCATTGCAACATAAAATGTTATCAGATGAATAATCCCTAAAAGAAAACCAGTAAAAGTCACTGTACAGTTGTTTTATTCACGACCTGTAAAGTTAGTCAACTAAAAAGTGAAAAAATTATTGAATAAAGATCACACTACATAACAGATTGATTGAGAATGAGTCAATCAGTCAAACGCAACATAGAACCTGGTGTGCATATACATCGGTCCAAGTTGCCATGCCCTATTAGCAAAGCACGATCAAATCTGTTAGATCATATTCTAGAGTAGTTGAGGTAATATCAGCAGGTAATGCTTTTATCAAGTTCAAACATTGTATAGACTAAATATGGACAATTTTCAGTTAGTTCATAATAACATATAAACCATCTATCACTACGATTTCAGTTTCGCATAGAAAATTACGAGGTGGTATCTTAATTCTGATTGATTTAATCAAGGCCGTCAGTGTACTTTTATCATTAGGCTAAATTAATTGATGTTACTGTTTATCTAAAGCTGATAGAAATTAGAATGCTATAATGATCAGTCACTTGAAAATAATAGGTTGCGAATTTATCTACTGGACGTCTGTTACTCACATGTGTCAGTCAGTCACAACGTAGAACCTGATGCATATGTACATCGGGTCACGTTGCTGCACTCCATTAGCGCAGAGATGAAATCGTCAGGTCAAATCTTGAAGTAGTAGAGGTGGTAACAATATGAGACAACATAGCCCATTGATGTAAGTAGTGGTTAGTCATATGTAGCACATATACCAACCACCTCAATTGACGGAGATTTATTATCTCATCAATCGATTTACCATCCTTACTTCGTACTCTATTCCTAACCTAGTCATTTCTTACTCAGTTGTCCCAAAATACACGAGTAATCCCTCGAATACACCTATGATCGAATACTAGTAGCCTATGAATATTCTCTATTCCTAAAAGCCATATTTCACATCCCCAAGGTAAAGTAGGGCGTGCAGTTGAAAAGTGTGCTTGTCCTTTAGTCGATAGACAGATATCTCACCTACGTCACAAGTAACATAAATCGACAAAAGCCGTGCTGAGATTTCGTCAGACACTAACCAATTAGGGCTAATCAGACTTCCAAGATACGTGGTGTGTGGGTGGAAATTTAATTCATTTAATATTGACCTAGTGGTTCGATAGTACAGTATTTAGGACGTGATCTTTTGGTACTGGGTTTATTACCACCCTGGGGTCTTAGATATACATTGCGCTAACTGATCACAAGCTAGGATAAAAAAAGGTCCAATATACCATGGTTTTTCAGTTGATATCAGTGCTATTAATGTATTTCATTTATGTTGTATTTTTACAATAAAATTCCAGTCGTTATCAAAACATTTTTGTTAAAATCATGTGTTATAATTACAGTTATCGAAGTTTATGCACTGTATTTTTGCGTGATGCAATGGGATTTTTATTGGTATTCGATTTAACCAATGAGAATAGTTTTAAAAATTGTCATGCATGGATGAATTTATTATGTGATAATGCTTACTGTGATCGTCCAGATGTAGTTCTTGTTGGAAATAAATTTGATCTGACCTCTGAACGTCAAGTATCCATGTCCGCTGCTAAAGCAATGGCTTGTGATCTCAAGTTAGTGATGTTGAATATTTTTTTAAAAAAAACTGCTGTTCTCAAAACTTTATGATTGTACGTAAAAAACCGCTGTGTTAAGTAGCCTGTAATCTATTGTGATTTACTTATTTACCTGGTACAGATCCATGTCTTAGGGTTTAGGCTATAGCTTTTTCTGTGTGAGGCTTATTGATGCTACTTATGCTGACAGATATAAGTAGTATGTAGTATCAATCGGAAGAATCATCAGGAATGTAAAGGGCAACTGAGGGAAGATGTGCAAATAATATATTTGATGTATGGTTTTCACATTTCATCAAGGCACTGTGTAAGTTTTTATGAAACAATCAATTGGTTTCCCCCACTGAAGTCCTCACTCACTACAATACTACCCGACCAGCTAAAACGTAGGTAAATAAAGAAGTGATCCCAATATACGCAAATAACGCTATAGAGACATCTGTGATCAATATGTAGAATCTTAGTTAAGATTAAATCTCTCGGTAGTGGCACATACTATGTGGACGTGCTTATATCTAGTCTGTATTTCATTTTTGAATGAATACAATTTATGCTATCAAGTGCAGGCAGTAGGCACTTGAAGTTGAGCTACATTTTTTGGTGTATAAAAGAAGACTAGGTATACTATTCGATTGTTCACACTGAAGTAGAGAGAGAGAGAGGTAGAGTTGCAAACTAAGACAAACTAGCTCATTACCTTAGTGTTTATTTAATTTTGTTGTATATTAATTTTCATCTTATCGTCTGACATTGACCCTAATAATTGATAAACATACTTTATAAGCAACAATCTATTAGTCTGTTATTTATATGCTCATATGTGATAACAAGTTTGATTGATGTTTACCATTTTGTAGTGTCTTATTGGCAAGACATAATAGTAATATTGGTAGCCTAAAAAAATTATTAGGAAGTAGTCATTAGTTTTCACTCTATTGTGTCTCGTATTTGATTTTGTTGCTATGTAACGGAGCTACTTAAGTGTTATTAGTAATTAGCAATTATAAAGTTATTTTAGTGTCGATCAAGCTTCAGGTTTTATTATGCTTATCCTCGTGACTTTTAAGGCTTGAATAAGAGTATTTACCAATATCTGGTATTTAACTTAAGAATGATCATATTTCACATAGTTTGTGTGGATTAAAGGTTATTATTCTTAGAATCTACTGTGTATATATGTGTAACTTGCTTTGGTTGAATAATTCACCAGGGGTGTCGGGTTAAGAATCAACAACGCAGTAGAACCTCGGAGAAATAAAACAATAATGACAGACTATTCAAATAAAAAGGGTGGACTAGATGATGTTGACATAAAGATGAATTCTTAGCTGTATCACTTAGTCTCTAACTAATTGATTCATAAGATCTAATCAAACTTCGACGTCGTCACTTAAACCAACTTAAAATAACAGTGAATAATGGCTTGATGAATTAATGTTATCTTTCAAAGGAGCATTTTATTTTGATCTTCGAAGAAATTCCATTACTTCAGCATCAGTCCAAAATAGTTTTTCCTGTTTGATTCTCTCTTTCAGATAAATGTTTAGTTTACTGAAATAATTAGGCGTGCTTTGTTAATGGTTATAGGCGCTTTAATCTCAACCACTGAGTCACAAGTTCAAACAACCCTCTCCCTACTTTATTCAGTTTGAACCACTTTTCGGTACTGTCTGTTAATGGAGCACTTAGATGATCAAAATACTTGATGATTTATGGCTTATAAAATAAAGAGCATTGTATGTATGTATAGAAATCTGATCATCTTCTTTCCTTAATTGATGTGAAAAGTGACTATATGACGATCACTTATGCAAATTCGTATTAATGATGCAGTAGACTCAAGCAAATGTATAATACAAGATTGCACAACTAGTCAAAAAACAAAGTGATTATAAGATACCTAAAAGTAGAGTTAAAATCTAACTATCAGACATTGTCTTTGATCTATTATACCAAGAAATTTCAAACTGATAATCAGTTTGAATTGCTCAATGCTTCAATTATCCATGGGTTCACATTCCAAACCTCCTAATCAGAATACCATTAGTTCAAATTATTAATGGTCACAAATAATTTTCATTGTTTTAACTGATCATTATATACGTAAAATATCACAGAACACTACACACTGTGTAGAATAAAACATAACACTGGAAGATTTTTTAACATGTCGTTAAGTAATACATTTTATAGTTAATTGACTATGTTCTATAAACATTAAAAGAGATAGTAACAACTAATGAAGTCAAATATTAGCTTATAATTAGGGCTATATATAGAACCATTGTAAATACATATACAACCTGGTTTATTCGTAATTTCTTTTCTTTGCCTCTTTCTAACACAATCAACATCAGGAAAAAATACTGCAACTGTTGATTTGTAGATTTCGATCAGGACTAAATGGTATATGGCATTGGCCATTATTCGGTGATCAATCAATATAAATATCTCAGTTTTACAGGAGGTTAGTTACAACTAGAATAATTCCGTAGTAAAATCTCCAACTATGAAACTGGGTAACATGGGTTCAAAACTTATAAAATGCATCATTTCCTTGAAGATTCCAGATATATTTTGTTAACGTGTGTTAACTAGCAAAAAACCTATGTTTATGATTTCCTGTCGACTACAGTTAACCAATAAATAGGAACTGTTTTTGATTGAGATCATAGACCGATTAATGTCAGACCACCGTCGGAAACCTGAAAGGCCGTTTCCTTCCATTGTGGGACCCCTCAACAGTGCGCATCCATGATCCCGCGCCAAAGGGATTCGAGCCCAGGGCCTTCGGTCTCACGCGCGAACGCTTAACCTACTGGACCACTGAGCCGGCATCCAGTGGTGTTGGTGTCTGACATCAACCAACCCACGAAATTGCGCGACCATCTTTAATTGTACTGAGGTAGATACCTGTCTCTCCCCAACACGGATTAGTTCCACTGGTCAGGGCTTCTTACTAGAACTCCGAAATTCCCTGACGAAGCTAGTCATTAGTGAGTACATGTTATTCCACGAGCGGAATCATAGATGCGCATTGTTGAAGAGTCCCACAATAAGACGAAACGACCGTCCAGTGCTTCCAGGTTTTCAATGTTGATCGAACATCAATCGGTTCATGATCTCAATCAAAAACGTGATGATCTTCACAACCCCTATACTAATCATAGGAATTGTATCTGTTTTGTAGATTTCTTTGGAAATATTAATGAATATCTGATGGATAATGATTTCAATAATTATACTATTTAATTGAATTCATATTTGATAATAATAATCATTTAGTTATGAATAAATATAATTTTTCTATACATTATTTTGTATTAAGTGTACCATATATTGAAACAAGTGCAGCAACTGGTTATCAAGTAAATGATGCAGTGGATCGTTTATTAGATTTAGTTATGACTAGAATTGAAGCATCAGTAACTAAAGCACGTATACATGGTAATACAGATGGTACAGCAAATTTGAAAAAACCAGCATCTAAATCGAATTGTAATTGTTAAATAATTTATATATATATATATATATATATATATATATATATATATATATATATATATATATATGATGGATGGAATAATAAATATGATTACAAATATTAAATTGTACTTTTCCTCATGATTTCAAGTAAGTGGAAATAATAATCTTTTTGTTACTCCTAAATGAATGTTTTACTTATCTTGTTTACTGATTATTCTATAATTGATGATAATTTAATGAACTTTATTTAATATTCATACTTGAAGAGATTTGGAAAATTGATGGTTACGAAGATGTTGGAAAACTTGGATTTTACTAACCAGTAGTGTACTTCAGAAGTATATAAACTATGTGAAGACTCTTTACTCGAACACTACTAGTTGAGTGAGAGCTTATGGTGAACTGTCATTTGCTTTTTGTAACCTCAAGTAGTGTTCGTCAAGGCTGTTCACTTTCTCCATTTTTGTTTAACTTCAACATAGACATACTGATGAAAATAACGCTCTCGTCTACTGAATTCTCGGGCATTGATCTCGTTCCAGGAGGTCCACTTATCGACTTAGAATACGCAGATGATATAGTCCTGTTTGGTGAAGACGCTGAGAAGCAATGCCAGAACGTTTGGAATGCGCTTCTCTCCCTCTAAATGCAAGTTGTTGCTTCAGGACTGGCCTGCATCAACACCTGAACTAAGGATAGGGAGTGAAGTAGTCGAACGCGTCGACAACTTCACTTATCTTGGAAGTTTGATCAATCCTAATGGGCTGGTATCGGACGAAATCTCAGCACGGATTCGAAAAGCTCGTTTGGCTTTTGCCAACTAACATCACCTTTGGCGAAGGCGATATATCCATCTTTCAATTTGGGGACGGGAATACTGTGTGGCAGTTTGTTCTGTTTTGCTTCACGGCTACGAAACGTGACCATTAATAATATAAGATACTCATAGGCTACTAGTATTTGACTGCAGATGCCTTAGAAATATTGCTGACATCTGCTGGGATCACCGGGTAAGTAATAGTGAGGTTAAAAGCAGGGTATTACGGAATGATGATGGTAGATCAGTTGATAAGGTTGTGAATTTTCATCGACTGAGATGAATGGGTCACGTGTTGCGTATACGTGAACACCGATTACCACGACGTGTAATGCTATCCGGTGTTGGAGATGGTTGGAAGATAGTTAGGAGTGGCCAGACCAATACGTGGCATCAGTGCTTGAAGTCACTGACTTCTAATCTGAGCCATGTTGATAGATGCAAAATACTTAGTTAGGGTCCGCGCGACTATTTGTAACCAATGGTTGGAGACTCTGTGTGACATGGCTTAGAATCGATCACAATGGCGTCGGTGTATACACTTCCTGTCTTCTTGTAAACTAAGAGATTAAAATCGCTTCATTTCTTTCTTTCTACGAACTAATTCTTTCTTCCTCTACTATATCCTTATTACAATCTTTCTTTTATATATTACCACCTCTGAATTAACTACTTTTATGAATCCGGTGTTCATCTTGCTGTGCTAACGAGGTATGGCAACTTGGACCGATGCATATATGTGCGTGGTCCTACATTTCAGCTGACTGACTACACATTAATCCCATGATTCTGAGGGAAAAATGGTACATATATACCTGTTCTTGATCACCGGGTACCATGGGACCGCATCTCCTAACGTCACTCCGTTGCTTTGTTGGATTATATCTCTAGGTCAAGCATTTGGGGAATGGTTTCGTAAGGAAAATCATGTGCTTCTGTCTGAGTAACGGGACAGTATCCCACCTCATACAAATTTAATGATATAGTGTCTGGTGCATTGTTATTTTGGTGCTTCTTTGTTAAACAGAAGCTTCGGTTGATATTATTCAGGAATTCTTATCAAATATATTAGGTATTATGAATAGTTTTATTTCTTATTCTAGACTACTTGGTCGATAGGATTCGATCTGCACTAAGAAGGACCTGACATACATGACATTGATCAGCACCCAGTGATCAATCAGTCCTATAGGAGGCCAGTCGAGGCCCGGGTAGCCCAGTGGTAACGTCTCTGACTGTGAAGCTAGGTGACACGGGATCGAATCCGTCAGGGAGCATCAGTTCCCTCAAGATTACAGGTACACCTTGGTGACGACTGCCAAGTAGCACGAAACATAGTTCCAGGGTTTCCTGTTGACTGCCTCCAATCGTCATCTTATCTCGATATCGTGCACTCAATGTCGAGTCACCTAGACTTGTGGCTGCATTGTGACTTGGTCGATAGGATTCGATCTGCACTAAGAAGGACATGTTATACATGATATTGATCACCACCCAGTGATCAATCAATTGTAAATATTCTAGACTACATTTCACATCATCATCATTGTATTACTTGCGTACAATATGTATTTCTCACTTTTTTCTCTTCTTCATTTCAGATTGTACTGTTTCTGTTGCATAAATTTCTACTGCATGAACTTGTCCAGTCAACATCTTGTTATCTTGTTGTGTTGTATTCTCTATGTATGTGTGTGTATACTGTGCTATCTCCAGACGTTTATGAAAATGAACTAACTGACCAACTATAGCCTAATTGTGCCAACAACATATTTTTAATTGTTTTACTCTGCTCCTGTTAATGATTGTGATTCGGGCGATGGAAAGAGTATCCGTTCGATGTACTGTTATCCAATCTATTTTAATCACAGTTCTGTACGTGTCTGTTTGTGTTCGTGTTTGTGTGTGTGTTATGATAAAATTACCTCTTTCGTTTATATTGTACTACTACTCCACCAATAACCATTTCTAGAACATTGACGTTTATTGTACCATGACATCTGTTTATGTACGTTATCAAGAAACACAAGCAGAGAGAGCATAACCATGTCCTGTAAAATTGTGATAAATTATGACACAACAATGTCAACCCTGTGTTTGTGTGTATGTAGTTCCAATGTATTTTTGTCGCTGGATTTTTTCCTGTTGTATATGTGACTATGTAATGTTTACTCAGTGTCGTTGGTGTATATCACAAATTTCTTCAATTTACTTCATTCATTCCATCCATTGTGTGAATCTCAGTGAATATTTTAGTAGACATTCCATTTTCATGTATTTGTGTTACATCGAATGTTCTTTGTCTTTCGTTTTTTTTTACCTACTACTGGTACTACTACTTAAATAACTTTATTATTGTTATCTTTATTATCATACGTGATGTATATTTTTCTACTTAACTGAAAATGATTCACTTTGCTATTGGAAATGTTTTCATTTGGGTTTTTTTGTCTTGTCTTTTCCTTTTGTTGTCCTCCTGGTCCCTCGGTATCCCATATGTCTATGCTGTGTTATTCAATACTTTACTACTAATATAATTGACTCTCAATATTAGTATGAATTAATGATTTGCTTTTTTGTGCTTTCTTCTTGTTTTGTTTTGCTTTTCTCATGGTAATATTTCAACTGTAATATATATGTATTGTGTGTGTACGTCTTGGCTTCTTTTCTTTTCTTCTTGACTACTAGTCCAGTTTTCATTGTTATGTTTATGCGTAGAAACTAAGATTTGTTTTGTTTCCAATGCTTTTTTAATAACTAATCTAAATTGGGATGGTGGGGATAAAAAAAATGTAATTTTTAACAGAATAGTATTTCCCATATACTGACTACTACTTCCCTACGGGATTGGACTCGACAACGGCATCTCTGTGCTAATGTGGTATGGCAACTCTAACTGATGTACGTACGTACGAAGTTCTGCGTTGTTACTGACTGACTCTCATATACTGAAGGCATTGGCTTATATTTTGTAGATCATGGTCATTATTTTTTTTTTGTATGAACATGTTAAATGTTAATACTTGCTGAAATGAATTATTCTTATTTATATTTAAGTGATCTAACGGTTGAATTACTGGGATTCTAATCAATAAAGTACAACTTCATCTCATCTACATCAGGTCAAGCGATTGAGCATCTTCACTAGGCTTCAGTAAATCTTCCGTAGTTTTCACACAATGTCAACACAATGAGATATCAGAATGGGTTTTGTGGAGATTTTTAGAAATTTCACTGGTTGAAATCATGAGTCAGTTGAAGCTAGACCACCATGGAAAACCTGGAAACACTGGACCGCCGTTTCGTCCTGGTATGGGACTCCTCAGCGGCGCGCATCTGCGATCCCGCCCCCCCCGCGAGATTCGAACCCATGGTATGATTGATAAGATTGAAGTACTAGAGAAGTATTCTGAATAGTGGTAGTAGTAGTAGTATTAGTATCAATATTATTAAACAGAAGCTTAAAATGAGAGGATATGCTTTAAAAAGATGAAATGAATTCGATTCTCAAAATTTTAGGGGAAGATAAACAATGGGTACATCTACGCTACTGTGATCAATTTTGAATGATTCCACCTAAAGTTTCGAAACACTGATTATGGTTATCGCAGCCAGATAATAAGCATTTAATAAGATAACCAAGCTTGATATTCAATGACTTCATAGAACAGTATCATGTTTTGAATTGGTCGCGGGACCATGGATGTGCACTGCTGAGGAGTTCCATGCTAGGACGAAACGGCCGTCTAGTGCTTCCAGGTTTTCCATGGTGGTCTAGCTTCAATTGACTCATGAATTCAACTACTAAATTATTGTCTCTATATGAAACGAATTCGGTCTATGGAAGCAAATCTGTGAGAATAGTTTTCCTGGTGTACTAATATCAACTGGCAAAACATTGAAAGTAGAGATCATCAGAATTCATTTGCGTTTTAGTGTTGAATAACACAATATACTATGCATCAACTTTAGACTTTTTGCATATTGTTTCTTGTATACTAATCTCATTAAGTCAAAATTCATTGATTATCTATTATCTCCCTTAACTTGGTATCATGATAATAATTTTTCTCATCAACTGAAGTTATTTTAAATGAATAGTGACATTAACTAATTCTACATCAACAGACATATGATATCATGGTAGGGAATTACTTGACAGTAGTGCTTAATTGTTTGTCAATTGATTACGGTCCCTTTATTTAT